CCGATCTCGAGTACTAATACCCTGGCTAAGCCAGTTAGCATCTCCCAGGTAAGAGTGAAAATAATGAAGAAAGGTATAAAACAAAACAATATTTGACTCCAAGACTTCATCTTGGGTGGATGTATGAATGGGTGGGTGGATGGATGGGTGGGTGGATAGATGGATGAATGGGTGGATGGATGGGTGGGTGGATGGATGGGTGGATAGATGGATGAATGGGTGGATAGATGGATGGATGGGTGGATAGATGGATGAATGGGTGGATGGATGAATGGGTGGATGGATGGGTGGGTGGATGTATGAATGGGTAGGTGGATGGATGGGTGGATAGATGGATGGATGGATGGGTGGATAGATGGATGAATGGGTGGATGGATGAATGGGTGGATGGATGGGTGGGTGGATGTATGAATGGGTAGGTGGATGGATGGGTGGATAGATGGATGGATGGGTGGATGGATGGATGGATGGATAGATGGATGGATGGATGGGTGGATAGATGGATGAATGGGTGGATGGATGAATGGGTGGATGGATGGGTGGGTGGATGTATGAATGGGTAGGTGGATGGATGGGTGGATAGATGGATGGATGGGTGGATGCATGGATGGTTTCCCTTTAAGATGCATCAGTGATTATCCTCCTTCACAAACAGCAATAAATGAGGCAAAATTAAAATAAGATTTAGCCGTCAGTCTATATATTGAAAGTTATATTTCAAAAATTATTGATGAACTGATTTTTACCTCAATATTTGTGCTTTAATTCAGAAGAACAGATAAAGGATTTTTATAGACTACACAACATAATGGGAACCATGTTAAAGAAAAAGAAAAAAGCAGCAATAAAAGCTGCGGGACTGTTTCTATAGACTGGGAGAGGCAGGATGGTTGGTCTCTATTTAGTATAGGTCTACAGTACTGCCAGCTGAGGCCGGGCCAATAATTAACCAATCATTGATTGTTTGTGATGATTTCAATTTCAGAAAATCAGGATTGTTTTAATGTCTGCTTATTTCAACCAGAGTTAGAATTCTATTTAGGCTTAAAAAGGACGATTCAAAAACCATCAGGGTGAAGCTTGGTGTTTATAACCTTATTCTAGCACAATCAAAAGGTTGCTGGTGTTTTTTTTAAAAGAATATAATGTTAATATGAACTTTAAGTCCCTGCTAATGAAAAAGCCCACAGCATCACTAATAAAACTGCTACAAACACAGACTGCATTAATCTAATGATTAAAATTTTGTTTCCTTCCGTCTTTATCCTCCTGTCTGTTTGCCTACATGGCATCATAAAAACCTGCATCCATGGAGACGGCTGCTATTAGCCAATGACATCTAACAGTCTAATCATTGGTCATCGCCTGCTGTCGTCATCCAGGTAATGGATACCGGATTTTCCAGGCTGAACATAACAGACGATTCATCCTAGAGTTGAAGCTGCTCCTCAGTGCAAACATCTGGCCACCATAGGCTTTAACATTTCAGTCTCCTTTAAGTTGATCTCTGCCTGCCAGAGTAAAGCGCCCCCCCACTCTTCCTGCCTGCAGACGGTACTACAGGTAGACCCACACATCCAGATTGTGGGCTGATCTATTATTTATTGAGGATCTACTGATGTGTTAAGATTAGATGGTCAAATAGTTCTTCACACAGAAACTCAGCTAATTTAGTCATTGATTGATCATTAACTGGAGTATAGAGACTAAAACCTGCCTTTAGCCGACAGAGTGACACACTTAGAGCAGAAATTATACCAAGATTGTAAAAATTATTAATACATTTAGCATTTAAGAATAAGATAAGTTTTTGTCCGTCAGAATGCTTCACCAGAACTCCTCAAGTGCAAACCTTGTAGTTTGACCAGGTTTAAATTCTGTAAAAAAAAAAAGGTCTTCTTTAAAATCCTATTTTGCTCTCTGATTATTCATTGGAAAAATGAAAATAATCTGTTGATTAATTGATAAAATAAAAGTCAATATGATGGTTAGTTGCAGCCCTAAGCAACACAACTGAAAAGAAGTCAAATGGAGATGAAGCGCATTCATTGCTGCTCCCTCCGTCTGCTATCCGTCGATAGAGTTTTCTTTAAATTGTCAAGAAAACAGAATATCAGCTGTGCTGCTGCCATCAACACCTTTGTTTCTAGATGTTGGAGCTTGGCCTGTTTACCAGTGTAGTCCTGTTTCTCTGACTGTGACTAACTGGATGTGCTCTCTTCATCCTCTGACATGGGAGCTGGCTCGGAGCTCGTCTGCCTGGCTGTGTGTTTCCTGGACGGGGGCCGCCTGTGGAGCTGGTTGACAGTTGCCTTTTGTATCTATGCTTCTTTTTCTATGTCTGCTTCTGTCTCCTTGAACCCCAGTGGGCCTCAGCAGATGGCCGCTCACACTGAGCCTGGTTCTGCTGGAGGTTTCTTCCTGTTCAAAGGGAGTTTTTCCTCTCCACTGTCGCTACAAGCATGCTTAGTGTGAGGGATTGCTGAAGAGTCAATGAGTCGATGCAATCAGCTGGTTTTCCTTGACAGAAACTATCTAATTGAATTGTGTCTGTAAAGTCCCCTTCGATGACCTGTTTTTAAATTGGCCCCAAAGAAATAATCAGAACTGAATTAAATATCTGATTTTTTTTATCTGTTCAATTAGACTAATAAATAAAAAAACAATCTGTACCAGCCTTAAAAACATGCATCAGTAGATCTCTAATCATTACCCTCTTAAATCATTTCTGAACTAAATGTAGTGAAAATAAAGCACTTAACGGTCGTATCTGATCAAGCATTGATTGATCTGAGGGGAGCAGTGGGAGGAAATAAACACCGTTTGGTTAAAACTGATGCCCCTCTGGAACGGGCCCCTCTGGAACGGGCCCTGGGGTCAGACATGAGAGCTGGACCTCCAATGACTAAAGGATTTAGGTTTTGGCAGTGGCGGTTCTAGAACAAGTGTACCAGGGGGCCAGGAAGGGGCCAGGAGGGGGCCGGCATGATTTCATGGGGCCCAGAAAAGCAGAAAAAAAACAGGGTTAGGGATTCCTTCTTTCATCTGAGGAACATTGCAAAAATTAGAAATCTCCTGTCCAGGGGTGATGCTGAGAAACTAGTCCATGCATTTGTTACTTCAAGGCTGGACTATTGTAATTCTTTACTATCAGGAAGTCCACAAACTGTAGTTAAAAGCCTTCAGCTGATCCAAAATGCTGCAGCCAGAGTTCTAATGAAAATGAAAAAGAGAGATCATATCTCTCCTATCCTGGCTTCTCTTCATTGGCTTCCTGTTAAATCCAGAATAGAATTTAAAATCCTCCTTCTCACATATAAAGCCTTAAATGGCCAAGCTCCATCTTATGTCAGAGATCTGATTGTTCCTTATGTTCCTAACAGAGCACTTCGCTCTCAATCTGCAGGTTTACTAGTGGTTCCTAGAACTTCTAAAGTAGAATGGGAGGCAGATCTTTTAGTTATCAGGCTCCTCTCCTGTGGAACCAACTACCAGTTTTAGTCCGTGAGGCAGACACCCTGTCTACTTTTAAGGCTAGGCTTAAAACTTTCCTTTTTGATAAAGCTTATAGTTAGGGTGGCTCAGGTTATCCTGAGCCATCTCTATAGTTATGCTGCTATAGGCTTAGACTTTTGGAGGACATAGGGACCCCCATTTCATCATTCTGCTTCATTCTCTCTCTGTTCTCCTATTCTGCAGAATCTGTTAGTTCAATCTCTAACCTTCTGCTCTCTCTGCTTTTCCTCAGAGTAGCTTTGCCTCGTCTGTTCCTGTTTGGCTGTGACGTCATCCTGGAAAAAACATCAGCTGTGCTGCTTCTATCAACACCCTTGTTAATAGATGTTGGAGATCGGCCTGTTTTCCAGTGTGGTCCTGTTTCTCTGACCGTGACTGAGTGGATGTGCTCTCTTCGTCCTCTGGCATGGGAGCTGCCTTGGAGCTCGTCTGCCTGGCTGTGTGTTTCCTGGACGGAGCCGCCTTTTACAGCTGCTTTTTGTATCTCTGCTTCTGTCTCCTTGAACCCCAGTCGGCCTCGGCAGATGGCCGCTCACACTGAGCCTGGTTCTGCTGGAGGTTTCTTCCTGTTAAAAGGGAGTTTTTCCTCTCCACTGTCGCTACAAGCATGCTTAGTGTGGGGGATTGTATTTGAGTCAATGAGTCAATGCAATCAACTGGTTTTCCTTAGATAGAAAACTTTGTATCAATTTGACTGTATGATCTGGTTGAACTGTAAAGTGCCTTGAGATGACATGTGTTGTGAATTTGGCGCTATATAAATAAACTGAATTGAATTGAATTGAATTCAAACATGTTAAGATAGCTGCATGAAGTGAAATTTATATTCAATTAGGTTTAATTAAAATTCCATGTCAATTACTTCAATATACACTCATAATTTTACATATTTGTCACTTAATTTAAGTTAAAATTATCGTTCTCTATAAAATCTGAATTACAACTCAAGAAAAACTGATCAATTCAGCTGTAAAAATGAGTTTTTTTATTTTTTAATCTGTTTTGAAAAAACACTGGGATCTTATCTCAATGACACCAAAGCCTTATTGTCACATTCTTGTTTTTAAATTATTAGTAAAACAGAATTTGTAAAGAAAATAGAGGAAATAGATCCAAATCAGTAACTACCTGTTCCAGCGCATCATCAGTAGAATCTATTTGAGTATTATGTCTGCAGTGCAGGGGCCATGGGGGCCATAGCAGGGGCCATGGGGACCATAAAAGGGGCCATGGGGGCCATGGGGACCATAGCAGGGGCCATAACAGTGGCCATAACAGGAGCCATGGCAGGGGCCATGGCATGATCTACAGGGCCCCCATTGGCCCCTGTCTAGAACCGCCCACGAGGAAAGATCAAACACCTGAAGAACCTAAAGACCTAAGAACCGTTCCTAGGTCTTTGGGTTCTTCAGGTGTTTGTTTTTTCCTCGTGCTGCAGATCAAAGGGTGGAAGCAGGAAGTGTTTCTGTCTCCATCAGACTCACCCTCTTCAGAGGAACGGTGCTCCGGAACCAGCTGTAGTCCGGAGAGCCTCTGATCTCCTCCATCTGCGGGCGGAGCGGCTCCACCGCCGCAGACACACCGACCAGAAGCGGCTCCTCCCGGGCAGCCAGACCCCCGCTGCTAGCTGCTAATTCACCGCGTCCCGCCGCCGCTTCAGGCCGCTTCCTGTCGCGCGTGGAGTGGGTGATTCACAGTGTCCGTGGGTGTTCATCCATGTCGCGGTGCCGTTTCCTTGATTTTCTGCGGGTCTTATGACTGTTTTTCATTCACTTCCGCAAAACGTCACCGCTGAACAAGACGCGTTCACGGACAGCAGGAAGTCGGAAAATCGAGATTGGAATGGATCAATGCCCAAAAGGTTAAATTCGTCATAAAAAGATGGAATATTATCATATTTTCGTTTACTGTTTAAAAAAAATGTAAAGTTATATTGTTAAAATTCAAACATTTATATTTTAAAAATGGGAGTGTATAGACTGAAAGCTATTTTGTGTTTGAAATATAGGTTTTGCCTATTGACAGACTTTAAATAAAATTAATGGGTTCATTTCCTAATTTTGACTAATTGAAAATAATTCAGATTAAAATAAATCACCGCCGAGTTATTTTCACAGCAGGTTTATTTGTTTCCCTGCCGTCTGTGAAGGCAACATTCTATGGTTTCAGTTTATGAGTATAATGGGCTCTATGCACAGCTCCACTACTTCCTGAATTTAAAGCAGCTCCTTTGTTTCCTGTATTTCATGATTGGATGCACTGATTAATCCAGGTGTGTATGACCTAAGTAACTGGCCAGACACACCTGAATTAATCAGTTCGTCCAGTAATGAAAGCCAGGAAACAAAGGAGCTGCTTTAAATTCAGGAAGTAGTGGAGCTGTGCATAGAGCCCATTAACTGGTTTGATTAGAAATCTTACTGTACACAAAGTAAACTATAATTTCATTCTTACTTTACACTGTTCTTTCGTCATTTTTTGTTATTTATTTTGTATTTTTATGGAGGCATTTAATGGGGTTTTATTGTCCTCTTTTGGACTGGAGACCTGTGATGACTTTTATTTTTTAAGTTTTGCTTACACACATTTTCCCAGTCATAAAGAGACCTGTAAATAACTTTACACCATGTTTTCCTTTCTCAGCAGAATCCTCCACTCTGCCGTGTTGAGTTCAGGAACAGGATGTTTGGGGTCTACAGAGATGTTACGGTCAGGCCACTTTTTTCATGTCTTATACTTGTAAAGCTGCAGACCTGATTCTTTGTCACAGTGGAAGCAGTGATGCTTTGTTGATGAGCCAAACAACGTGGCCATGTCTGTCCTCCAAACAAGCTGATCGATAGAGGAGGAGCAACAGCTTCTGTGGAGGGTTCAATCTCTATGTGAGGACCAGATCAGGTCCTCACTGGTTCCCAGGAGCGGAAGGTCTACGGTGGACACGGTGCTGTTGAGGACTGTGAGGGGGGGCAGTGGAGGTTTAGAGTCCAGCGCTGGACCAACCATACACCTCCTTTCTGTATGCAGGTTCCTGCTGTCCCAGATCAGACAATGACCCAGTTCCATCCTTCAGAGTTCAGTAGCTTCACAGACAGGCGGGCAAACAGGGAGTAAAGCGGTAGGAGGAACTCACCTATGGGGGTGTCAGAGACTCACCTCTGGGGATGTCAGAGAGTTCAGATGTTTGTCCTCAGCCTCACACAGTAGGAAGGTAATGATCCACTGACAGGTGAACACTGTGCGCTAGGCAAGCTTCTGGAAGAAGGTCTCCTGTTTGATGAAGTGGGACAGGGTGAGGGATAGACCCGAGTATTAGCTACTGAGAAAGCCCAAACTTACTCCCTGAGGGGGAGTCATCGGATCTACTCTCTTTCTGACGGACAGACATTAAAGATCTTGTATTGATATATTACAGTTGAATATCACTCAGGGACCTTTCTTTATTTCCCATTCCAGGCCACGGTGTAGATTGATTGATTTTATTGATCTTACAGTGGAGAAATTATCCATCAGCTCAAATAGTCAAAAAAAGAAGATGCCAAAAGAAAAAAGTACATGAGGTATATAGAGTATATACTGTGCGTCCACATATGACAGCTGAAGTTTGTTTTTGTTTTTTTCAGGGTTATTGCACAGGGCGATTACATTGGTATTTATATGAATGGGTATTTATCCATTTAGTTATTCCACTGGGTATCAAATATAAAGAAACAGGTTATTGTGCAGGATATCAAATAGCAAACTGCACATTATACAATCAATAGGCTCTTACTAAAACTCAGTTTTTGAAAAATTTTTAAGCTATAAGGAAAAAAATCAGAAGAAGGTTAGAGTAATTCTGTTTTTCTTAGTATTATTTATTGAGGCTGTTTAGTTTTACTTTGAGAGAGTACATTATCAAATACCGCACCGTGACGTCACAAACCAGTAGGTGGCAGTAGTGTTCTTTGACAAACATGGATGCCTCCAGTAAAGCACATTCACATGAAAATTAATCTGAATTAAAAACACTGATCATTTATTGAACAGGATTGAATAATTTCAGAATTAAAGAACTTTCAGAAGTTTGGATTCTGAATGTGAGCGGAGTTTTTCTTTAATTGTCACCCACTATGTAAATTGTTTGAATGCAACTTTTTTCTAAATGAACAATTTTGATGGAAAAGTTGTCGCCATGATCTTTAATCTACATTTAATCACAGAAACTGCTTTTCTGCTATCCTCCAGTCCAGGCGGTGGCGCTAAAGGCACCCAAAGTTATTTAGCGAGCATCAAATATAGAAGAGAAGAAGAAGCAGTAATGGCTGCCGGTGAGCAGTGAGGGCAGCAGGGTGATCGGTGTCCGCAGCATGGAGGCCTTCTGTCCGCGCGCTCAGGCTGAAGCTCCGCAGCATCATGTTTCCGGCGGAGGGATCTACTATCCCAGCTCAGAGCAGCCGAACCACACCCCTCCACCGTGGATCCCTCCGTCCGCTAACTTCCCCGCACCTCCTCCTGGAGGAGCAGCAGCAGCTTTCGGAGGTTCTCGGTTTCCTCCTCCGTATGGATTCGGCCCCCCGCCGCCATTCGGCTGCCCTCCACCAGGACACCTCCCGGGAAGCGCCCCTGCCCGGGCAGACTGCGGTGATGGAGGGCTTCTCTACCGGGGCCCTCAGCACCTCCTCCAGGAGCGGAGCAGCGGCTGGGAACCAGAACCGGAGGATGAGGAGGAGCTGCAGAGGAAGCGGGACCGCCGGTGGGTGGCCCGGTTAGTTGGGGGGAGAGGAGCCCGCGCGCCGCAGCAGCCTGAAGGAGGATCCCTCCCCGCCTTCAGGGAGGCTCTGTACGGAGCAGCTGGGCTGCTCTCCCGGCTGCAGCATCTCTGCGGCCTCCTGCAGGAGCTCCTGCAGGAGGCAGGAGGAGGCTGGGCGGAGTCCTACCAGATGGCCCTGGAAGCAAAGACTGAGCTGCAGGAGGAGCTGCAGAGACTCTCTGACCCCCACAGATTAAATCAGCTGAAAGCTAAAGGGGCCCGCATCGCCAGGAGGAGGGGCCGGAGCCTGAGGGCCAAGAAGGAGCTGCAGATGGAGGAGAAACTAGCAGCAGATCTGAGCTCTGAGAAGGAGGCTTCCATAGATAACTGGAGGAGCAGACAGGTCCAGAAAGAAGAGGAGAAGAAGAAGGTAATAGTTTCTAGTTTAGAGATGCTAATGAGGCAACAGGAACCAAACTACTGCCACCTGCTGGACATTTAAAGGCACTACAGGCAGCTGAATAGATCTGATGACCTAGAATAGAACAGAATAGGGGGGAGCAGGGTGAGTGAAGTCCTTGGTGATTTTCTCGGCCCTTTTCAGACATGGCTTCCTATAGATGTCCTTGATGGTAGGGAGCGTTGCCCCGGCGATGTGCTGGGCCGTTTTTACCACCCTCTGCAGCGCCTTCCGGTCGGCGACAGAGCAGTTCCCGTACCAAACGGTAATACAGTTGGTGAGGATGCTCCCAATGGTGCAGCAGTAGAAGTTCATGAGGATCTCTGAGGACGGGTGGTTCTTCCTTAGGGTCCTCATGAAGAAGCTCGTTAAGGAAGGAGACATCAGAGGAGGCGGGGAAGGTATTGGAGTTCTTGGTTACATTTATCATAACTTGAAAATATTGAGTCAAATTTGAAAGAGGATGCTGCTGGACTAGGATTGTAAATCATATTTTTAAGTTCAGTAAAAACAGTAAATAAACAATTCAATTAAAAATGAACCTTAAGGGGTGATAGAATGATTCTATAGGGTATCTGGTCCTTCAGGTCTCTAATAGGGTGATAGAATGATTCTATAGGGTATCTGGACCTTCAGGTCTCTAATAGGGTGATAGAATGATTCTATAGGGTATCTGGACCTTCAGGTCTCTAATAGGGTGATAGAATGATTCTATAGGGTATCTGGTCCTTCAGGTCTCTAATAGGGTGATAGAATGATTCTATAGGGTATCTGGTCCTTCAGGTCTCTAATAGGGTGATAGAATGATTCTATAGGGTATCTGGTCCTTCAGGTCTCTAATAGGGTGATAGAATGATTCTATAGGGTATCTGGTCCTTCAGGTCTCTAATAGGGCGATAGAATGATTCTATAGGGTATCTGGTCCTTCAGGTCTCTAATAGGGCGATAGAATGATTCTATAGGGTATCTGTTCCTTCAGGTCTCTAATAGGGCGATAGAATGATTCTATAGGGTATCTGGTCCTTCAGGTCTCTAATAGGGTGATAGAATGATTCTATAGGGATCTGGTCCTTCAGGTCTCTAATAGGGTGATAGAATGATTCTATAGGGTATCTGGTCCTTCAGGTCTCTAATAGGGTGATAGAATGATTCTATAGGGTATCTGGACCTTCAGGTCTCTAATAGGGTGATAGAATGATTCTATAGGGTATCTGGTCCTTCAGGTCTCTAATAGGGTGATATAATGATTCTATAGGGTATCTGGTCCTTCAGGTCTCTAATAGGGTGATAGAATGATTCTATAGGGTATCTGGTCCTTCAGGTCTCTAATAGGGTGATAGAATGATTCTATAGGGTATCTGGTCCTTCAGGTCTCTAATAGGGTGATAGAATGATTCTATAGGGTATCTGGACCTTCAGGTCTCTAATAGGCTGATAGAATGATTCTATAGGGTATCTGGACCTTCAGGTCTCTAATAGGGTGATAGAATGATTCTATAGGGTATGTGGACCTTCAGGTCTCTAATAGGCTGATAGAATGATTCTATAGGGTATCTGGACCTTCAGGTCTCTAATAGGGTGATAGAATGATTCTATAGGGTATCTGGTCCTTCAGGTCTCTAATAGGGTGATAGAATGATTCTATAGGGTATCTGGTCCTTCAGGTCTCTAATAGGGTGATAGAATGATTCTATAGGGTATCTGGTCCTTCAGGTCTCTAATAGGGTGATAGAATGATTCTATAGGGTATCTGGTCCTTCAGGTCTCTAATAGGGTGATAGAATGATTCTATAGGGTATCTGGACCTTCAGGTCTCTAATAGGCTGATAGAATGATTCTATAGGGTATCTGGTCCTTCAGGTCTCTAATAGGGTGATAGAATGATTCTATAGGGTATCTGGTCCTTCAGGTCTCTAATAGGGTGATAGAATGATTCTATAGGGTATCTGGTCCTTCAGGTCTCTAATAGGGCGATAGAATGATTCTATAGGGTATCTGGTCCTTCAGGTCTCTAATAGGGCGATAGAATGATTCTATAGGGTATCTGGTCCTTCAGGTCTCTAATAGGGCGATAGAATGATTCTATAGGGTATCTGGTCCTTCAGGTCTCTAATAGGGCGATAGAATGATTCTATAGGGTATCTGGTCCTTCAGGTCTCTAATAGGGCGATAGAATGATTCTATAGGGTATCTGGTCCTTCAGGTCTCTAATAGGGCGATAGAATGATTCTATAGGGTATCTGGTCCTTCAGGTCTCTAATAGGGTGATAGAATGATTCTATAGGGTATCTGGTCCTTCAGGTCTCTAATAGGGTGATAGAATGATTCTATAGGGTATCTGGTCTTTCAGGTCTCTAATAGGGTGATAGAATGGTTCTATAGGGTATCTGGTCCTTCAGGTCTCTAATAGGGTGATAGAATGATTCTATAGGGTATCTGGTCCTTCAGGTCTCTAATAGGGTGATAGAATGGTTCTATAGGGTATCTGGTCCTTCAGGTCTCTAATAGGGTGATAGAATGGTTCTATAGGGTATCTGGTCCTTCAGGTCTCTAATAGGGTGATAGAATGGTTCTATAGGGTATCTGGTCCTTCAGGTCTCTAATAGGGTGATAGAATGATTCTATAGGGTATCTGGTCCTTCAGGTCTCTAATAGGGTGATAGAATGGTTCTATAGGGTATCTGGTCCTTCAGGTCTCTAATAGGGTGATAGAATGATTCTATAGGGTATCTGGTCCTTCAGGTCTCTAATAGGGTGATAGAATGATTCTATAGGGTATCTGGTCCTTCAGGTCTCTAATAGGGTGATAGAATGATTCTATAGGGTATCTGGTCCTTCAGGTCTCTAATAGGGTGATAGAATGATTCTATAGGGTATCTGGTCTTTCAGGTCTCTAATAGGGTGATAGAATGGTTCTATAGGGTATCTGGTCCTTCAGGTCTCTAATAGGGTGATAGAATGATTCTATAGGGTATCTGGTCTTTCAGGTCTCTAATAGGGTGATAGAATGGTTCTATAGGGTATCTGGTCCTTCAGGTCTCTAATAGGGTGATAGAATGATTCTATAGGGTATCTGGTCCTTCAGGTCTCTAATAGGGTGATAGAATGATTCTATAGGGTATCTGGTCTTTCAGGTCTCTAATAGGGTGATAGAATGATTCTATAGGGTATCTGGTCTTTCAGGTCTCTAATAGGGTGATAGAATGGTTCTATAGGGTATCTGGTCCTTCAGGTCTCTAATAGGGTGATAGAATGAGCTGTGCTCTGATTGGTTGGTTTACAACGAGCCGAGCTGCTGAGCAAAGACGCATCATAGCAGCAAGCACTCACTCACTGAAACAACAGATGGTTGATATGGTAGGGGGACCAGACGTCCTCTTTTTCCTGGACATGTCCTACTTTTCAGACCTAAAAAATGTCCAGATTTCAAAATCGTCCGGGATCTTGGTCGCCTAATTGGGATTTTGGTCGCCTACAGTACTTTCTCACAGTAGGTCACAGATATTACATGTATGCACTGATAACAAGGGACACGGTCCATATCTTATATTTATTGACTTCTGTTCAGGCGTCTTGGTGTATTTATCGCCGGTTTCATTCTCTGTGTGCAGATAGATGATGATGTTTCCTGAATGTTTCTGTTTCACAGGAGCTGGAGCTGAAGCGCTCTGCAGACGCCGTCCTGTGTGAGGTGAGGAAAAAGCAAGCAGACGTGAAAAGGATGCAGGATATCATGAGATCTTTGGAGAAACTCCGGAAGCTGAGGAAAGAGGCAGCGTCCAGGAAAGGTGAGGTCGATGCTGCAGAAGCATCCAGAGACCTGGTTTAATTCTTCAGTCTGACTCCATTAGGCCCTGAAAAAGAGAAACTATTGAAAAGTTCTTTTACTGTGAAACTTTCTTTGCTAAAGTCATAAATGATTCTTTGTTGATAGCCTCTTAGAGTATAATTCTGCACATCGGCGTGAAAATCCCAGGGCTTTACATGTAATGTGTTTAACAGGTATTTCAACGGAGCTGCAGAGTGATGAGGCGTTCAGCATCCAGCTGGAGCAGCTTAGAGACGTGATGAAGAAGCGGACGCAGCTTTACTCAGCAGAGGAGAATGCTCTGATGGTGATGCTGGAAGGAGAGCAGCAGGAGGAGAGGAGGAAGGAGCAGGAGAGGCGAGTCTGGAAGGAGAGGGAGCGACAGCTGGAGAGGAGACGCAGGGTGGACTCCATCCTCTTTGGAGGTAACTTGTTTTTTTGTTTCCTCCCAGAGATTCCTGCCAGGTCTGCTCTGCATCCTGATCTTTTGGTTTGTTTCTCAGAGGAGCTTCCAGCAGATGGCGCCCTTCGGCCTTTCGTTGAGTATTACAGCCAAGCAGAACACTCCCTGCAGGCGCTGATACAGATCAGGTTTGTCCTCAATGTTTTTATTTTGCTCCCCTTTGCAGAAACACAGCTTCCTCTTTTTTACTTTTTCTTTCACATTGAGAAACATGAACAATCTTCTCCTTGACTTTATTTCTTTTCACCAGATAATTTTGCTTCACTTAAAGGGGAGCGCCGTTTATTTCCATTGGCTCCTTGATTTTCCGTTATTCCATCATGTTCTACTCTCCCAGATGAGTTTAGTGTCATTTGGAGCCGTTCTGAAGATATTCCGTTAGGTTATATCCAGTAACGTCTTCCTATGAGCAACGACTTGAAGGCACAAACTAAACTGTTTGTCATTTATTCTTTATGGTACGCCAGCATTCAGAACATGGAGGCCAATCACTGTCCCCCAGACAGCCGCCGTTAGATTTTATATTTATATCTTTTAAAAACGAAGCGGAGCGTTTATGACGTTATATAAAACTGATTCATTTCAGGGTTTATACGAGAATGAGTTACTCAGAATTTATTGATAAATATCGTCTAAAGCAATAATGTTTTCAGGTGGATTAACTTAACTTGTACACTATGACATTAGATTCTGCCATCTTGGATTATTTTGCCTCTTTAAGATATTTATTTGTATTCTTTTTCAGGGTAACCAAACGAAATTACCAAACAACCACCAGGGGGAGCCATAGGATCATTTAGAAACTATCAATCCAGCGTAATTTAAAAAAGTCTAACAAAGTCAAATCATTTAAAGAAATAAAATAATGTAGCCACAGTCGGAGTTCAGAAGAACATCAAACCGTTAAATAATGAAAATGAACCGTGCGGATTATCTAGCTGCATTCCGTATAAAAACGAAAAATAAGGCAAGTGGGACAGAAAACTCTCTGAGGTTCACGTTTCTCTGTCCTCACCTAGTTAACTCTTCCAGATATTCAGCTATACAGTCCGGCTACATAAACAGAGATCAGTGGATTCACTCAGTCTGCATTATATTTTACCGTAAATCCTCTAATATTGGCCTGTATTCCATTAGCAGTCTGGTCTCTAATAATGGCCGGACTCATTCAGGCCGGGGCTATAATTAGAACCAATGATGTTTCTGGGCCGTCCTTAGCAACTTCTGATAGTAACATACAATTACCACAGGGGGGCAGTGTTTGCTAACGAATCCAAGCCATTAGCATGGGAAGTCCCATCCTTGGCGCAGACAGCGCCGCAGACAGGAGGCCGGCTTGTTTTGTTTTTATGACCGAAAATTGCGGAAAACAACTTGTGAAGTTTGACCCGCTAGAAGATCGAGGCGCGCGAGACGCTGGCACCCTTTTTCCACCTGGATCTCCGCTCTTTTCCGCCGTCATGTCCCTCCGTTGTCGGACTACTCGCCCCCACTTCCTCACTCCCTCGACCCACGGCGTATAGAGCAGACCACGCTTCAATATTAAGCATAAATCAAAAATGTCTGCATCAAGCTCACTGCGACACACTGCTGCAGGAGGATAACCAGCCGCACAATCGTTCCGATCTGAAAGACGTGATCATCGGTAGGTCTGCTGGTAACCAGGCAGCATTAAAATGACAGAATGTCGTTGGTCTTCGATATGCTGAATTTCCCTTGAAATATGCGATACTGGTAGCCTACTTCCATTTAGCCTGCCTCAAATAAGATTTTGCAGCGATAGCAGAACAGTTTCCATTAATTTAAAAAAAAAACTTTGTTTCCAAGTCAGTTTGGCCAAGATTCCATTCTGTGTCTTTTTTTTATCGTATTGACCTGCAGAAAAATAGCAGCTTCTGAAAGATGTCTGAATAATGTTCTGTATATCGCTATGGTAACTGTACTTTTTCAATAAATGAACCTGGTATTTCATAGGTTTAAAGAGAAACAAAATCTGTTTTTTATTCCTTCCACTGGTCGTCTGTTTGATCCAATAGAAATAGAGGCCTGCCTCTAATTCTGGTCTCCTTCCAATAATGGCCTGGACCAAGATGCACCTGAGTGAAATAAAGGCCCTGTCCTATATTAGAGGATTTACGGTACTTTGAAAAGCAAAAACAAGAGATGAAGAGCATGATGTTCTGAGCTCCACAGCGATTGTCTCTCCCTGCAGAAAGGCTGTGAAAGTCTCCACAGTTGGAAATAACTTTATGGGATTATTATTGTTAAATAATCCCAGAGAAACATTCTAACTTGTTATGAGAACTATTCTTTAATCCCAAACCCTCCCTAATAAGATAAATAACATCTCTCCCTCAGACACTTTGTGACCTGAATGAATCTCAGCATTCATGATCATTTTATCTAGATTTACGAATTAATATTACATTTATTATTTTTTTATTATATGATATTGATTTTTGATTTTATATTTATTATGGGGGGTGGTGGCCTAGTGGTTGGGGCATAGGGCTTTGAATCCTGAGATTGTGAGTTCGCACTCTGGGTCCCTGAGTAAGACCCTTAACCCCACCCTGCTCCCCGGGCGCCGCACAATGGCGGCCCACTGCTCCCCAAGGGGAGGGGTTAAATGCAGAGAGTAATTTCCCTCTGGGATCATTAGAGTATAGAAAATCATTTTATAGCTATTATACGACGGAGTCTTAGGGCCAGGCTGGAGATTTTTTTTTCTATTACGGGAATAAAGTCATCGAACCGCAACCCGTTTCAGAAAGAAAGCTTGGAGCTCCACCCAGCAGATGATGTCAGACCAGCTCCACCAATCAGCAACCAGAGTCCACTTTGACATCCTGCCCAGTTTGACGCTGCTGCTAAAAGATTTCCTGATTGGTCAAACCGATGCTAAAGTAGAACTTCCCATGATGCTCCACATTCCTCATTTTAGGGCAGAAAGGAATTCTTGTCATAAAATATTACTTGTTTCTCATAATTTTAGGACTTTATTAAAAAAAGCAAAAATCTCTAGTCTAGTCGTAATACGCCGTCGTACTTTTTGCCACTGACTGCACTGTAAAACAGAATTTTCCAGAAATTTTTACCAGCATTTAGTGATTCTAATTTTTTTATCTAAGAACACTTGTGTTTTTATCCTAAGCCCCATTTCCACTATTCTTTTAAACCGCGCCGAGATCGGTCCGATCACGGTAACCAAGATATCTGTTGAGTGTAAAAAGCTCGCAGAACTGGACCAGACCGTGCCGGACACAACCGGACCGGACCGTGCCGGACACAACCGGACCGCGCTAACATGGTACTAGTTCATCAGTAGGACTCGGTTCAGTTCTGGCTCAGTTCTCAGATAACAAAGAGCGCATTAGCAGACCGCCTCATCTCCTCACAGTCAGCCTCCGTAATCAGGAAATTCATAAAATCCTCGCTTCCCTACCGAGCCGCACGATTTCCAGTGATGATTCTGCTCAGCAGTGTGATGAACCTCAATGTCTGTCATTGTTTCCTGCGTCTGGAAGCTCTGATCAGACGATCGCCTCTGACAAGCAGATTCACCAAAGGCTGCCTTCTTCGCCTGACTCTCTGCAAACTTCCTAATTGTTACTGGCGCCGCCATGTTGGTTTACTTGTTTCCCTCTAGAGAGCAGTAGTACCGTAGATCGCCACCAGGAGGCGAGGAACCTCGTAATGGTTGTAAGGAACCGAGCTCTACACTCTTACTGATTCTAGTTCGGTCCGAATCAGTTTTCAGAGGGGAGTGGAAACTGGGCTAGGTCAGGGGGGGGGATCATCCTGCAACCTTTAGATGTGCCTTTGGTTCAACACACCTGATTCAGGTAATTGGATGATTGACAGGACTGACTGCATACTAAGGAGGTCATTCAGCCATTTGATTCAGGTGTTGGACCAAGGTTGCATGTAAAAGCTGCAGGATACCGCCCCCCCCCCCCCCCCCCCCCCCCCAGGAACTGGAACCGCCCACCTCTGGGCTGGAGGGTTATATGGAAACAATTAGCTTAATATACAGAGTGAACCGATGACTCAGCAGTTCCTTGTTCCTGCTTGGTTCCCCTTCCCAGCAGCCATTGCTGCAGCAGGAGAAGATGCTAACGTTCAGCACGGCTTTCAGAACATTTGCTGTCTGTTCAGAAAAGCTCAGAGTAAAGTTCTGATGTTTCCTGTGTTGTTCTTCCAGGAGGGACTGGGATGCGTTTCTGGTTGCAGGAGATCATCCGGATGGTTCCTCGGTTCCTCAGAACTGGGTCCTGCCAGACTCCCCATCAGACCAAACCTGGGCCTCTGCCCTGCAGGCTGCTGAAGATGACCTCTGACCCACAGAGCAGACGAGGACTTCACGCCGACACAGTGACACTCATACTATGTATGGGCCTGACTGAAGATTTTGTTTCAAAAAGTATTTTTGCTATTTTCTTAACTGAGTTGAAAATAAACAACAAAATCAAAAGTCGAAATGATAATTTTTTCCCTTTTTTTGAAGTTATGTTGAAATAAAGAACATTTTATGAACAGGAATTTATTTTAGACAATTTTGACAAACAACAATAAATTAATCAACAAAATACAAACGAAGAGACTAGTTAACATCAAACCAACTAAATTCACCTGAATATAAATAGAAACTTCCAGCAAATCAACCTGTGGGTTTAAACACAACCAGAGAAATTATATCGATTTATGGAAATTGGCTGAAAAAAGGGACTGAAGAAGTAAAGTAATTATAAATACCCCCTCTCCCTCTCATTGCTCTTAACTTTAAGTAGGGTTAACTTCCTGTTAAACTTTTTTTTTTCTAATATTCACGCACACAAAAAATTCTATATACATCTATACGCATTATAAGCACATTTAAATCTATACATCACAAACACATCAGGCCAAAATCCACATTTACACTGTTTTACATCAGAACTTTGATCCTGCAAAACGCCAAGCCATCAGTGCCGCAAATGATCAGATTCTCAGTGTAACCCCCAGATTCCACATACTCCGTCAGCGCTCCGCCCCGCTGACGTACGTCGTGCGGAGCGCTTGTCTTTCATGGAAATCAATGAGAGCTGTTCCACATCCACCGCTACTCCTCCGCACGTCTCCGTCCACGTACGTCTTCTCCGTCCGTCACCGACAAATTACGGAGCCGAGCTATTTTTTGCTCCGCTCCGGTCCGGCCAGGTCAAGATCCGCAATTGCAATCGCACCAAAGAGGAAAAAGAACCTCGACAAATTCCGGTTCGTCAAATTAAAATATAGTAGCAACAGATTGGTGACTAGAAATTATAGCACAATTCTTATAAATATCTAAAAAAAATAATAATAATAATAAACTAACACCGTTTATTTACATGATTGGATCCAAACTATTGGTTATTCACCAACCAGGAAGCAGATTTCTCATCTCCATTAAAATATTTATTTTATACCGAGGGACTTAAAGTTTAATCAAATCCATTCAAAAGAAACTTCTTATTACAGGAATGAAAAGAGATGCTGAGTTGTAGAGAACAAGTTCATAAAAAAAAAAGCAGTTTTGAATTATCCTTATCTCTGTTACAAAAATCTACAAATATATATATATATATATATATATATATGGGCAGAAACTGAACATATGCTGGATGAAGGTGGGATTTTTTTAATATGCCATATTAAATTAAGCGCTCACAGAGTTCATACAGGAATGAGTGACTCTAATTTAATGCTATTTGAAATGATTTTAATGCCATCAACAAGAACCATGTACACAAGTTATTCGTGTACATGAAATATGAAGAAGCTGTAAGCACAGTTCCATGACTCCTGTATGTATGTAAACACACACACACACACACAGCGGCGGCTGTAGGCTTTGCTTTGTGCAGGCGGTCTGGAGCGCAGCGGGGCGGAGCGGAGCGCAGACGGAGTATGTGGGATTTCAGGGTAACTTAGAGCAAACAGCAAAATATCAACTTCATGTTTCCTGTTATTATTTTGCTGGTTTAGAAACTGAAGCTCTGTGGTTTTTAAACTGGTTCATTAATTTAACTCTATTCTAAATCTGTCAGATTTTAAGACTGATGCACACAGAGTATAATAATATACGGCATCATGCAAAATCTGCTAAAAGAAAAATACTACAGCTTTAACAGACATGTAATAGTAACTCAATCTTTATGTAAAATCTTAAAACCATATGTAAGATGTAATTACCATAACAACGTCATTAATACATGTATATAACATGAACATCATCAATTTATCACTTTTATCTCATCTGTATTATTCATTAACACATTAATTTTATTGTGATGGTTTGTATAATATGTTATATTACATGATTTATAGACTATATTATTGATTTATAGACTTCATAATGACTCTGCAATCTGATTGGCCGATTGTTTTATTCTAAGTTAATCTACTGATGCTGTGAAACAGCCAGTCTGAGTCAAAGTGATGAATTTATCTTTATTTTAAAAATCTTAAGTCCCTGAAAATGAGAATATCATTGTTGTTCGATGCTGCAGCGCACGGATTGTTTACACTGCGACCGGTCTAACTAGGGAGTACCAATATGGCGGCCGGTGGCTTCACTTTAACCCCGTTCTACCAACAGACGATCAGCAATAGAGATCAGTGAATTAATCCGATGAATTGTTTCAGCCCTAGTTGGATCACATCTTTGATCTCAGGTTTATCTGTTAATAATTATAAGATAAAAGTGAATTTATAAAGCAACAGATGTGAAACTTCAGAGTCGACTTTCTTTCTTTAAACAAGAATAAACGAGCAGAAAATGTGCTATAAAGTCAAAGTTAAAGGAATGTGATGTCACCACAAGAATCCCCTCCATGTTTGCTCAGCCTGATGCGTCACTGCTTAGAGACTAACTGAGGATTAAAGTTTCAGTTCTGACTCCACCTGCTGAGGCTTCAGTCTCTGCTTCAGTCTGAGGAGTCTGGAACTCAGGTAGGTTCTCTGCTTTAAACACACCTGACTGATGGAACAATTTAAAGGATTACTGTTAGCATAAAATGTCTATTATGTAAAATATTTTTCTGCCAACTTCAGAGGCAGATATTTAGAAAGAAAACTCCCTTTGAGTGTTTTTATTGAGAGTTAGTGACTCTAAAGTTTATGGTTTTGGTTATTAATGAAGCAGAGTCAGAGTTCATGAATAAAAGATCACTGATTGATTTTTATCAAAGAATCATCATTAAAATGATGTAGATGGGATTAAAGCTGATGAGGAATAATGTTTTTAGAAGAGCTAAACTTCAAAGTTCAGCAGTTTAGGTGAATATTCTCCATTAGTGACCTAAAGTAGCATCCAGGTGATAACTTTATGCCTGCTGCTAACCTGCTGCATTAGTTTCACTTTAAGTGCTTCCCGTGATCAAACCTTTGCTCTGGTTTAGCTGATCAGCTGCTTTTCTATTAGGATGCACATCAAAGGCAGCAAAATAAGCTTAAGGAGCGTCTGTTTTCTCTACTGCTGGAAGTCCTGCACCATCTGCCCCCCCCCCGGGTTTCCTTCTCTTCAGCACGTGTCTGACTGACTTTAACCGACAGACGGAGCAGAAGCTCAGGCTTTGTTCTGACATCACAGCAATCAGTGACGCTGGACTTAACAGAGACCATCTGTTTAACAAGGCCTCCTTTCACTGAATCTACATGGTGTCCATAAGGGAGCATGTTTCTGTTATTATGCCGCTTTGCACCATTAACTGCGTGTGAACACTGTGTAACACCAGTATAGAAAGGTAGCAGCGAGTCTGAGAAGGTTAGACCTTAACTTTTCTCTGCGTTTGCAGGCAGTAGACGGACTTTGATCACTTTTGTTGTCATTTTGGACACACAGTGTTTACAAAACACAGATTTCATGACATTTCCATTAAAGTGCAGCAGTAAGGATGGGAACTGATAAGATTTTCATGATTCTGATTCTCTTATCGGTTCTGTGAAGCAATGAACTTGGTAAGACATTGGTCTACCTTCGACTGGGACATTTTATCTCTGCCTGCCTCAGTGAGAACAGAAGGCAGTGAACAGGAGCTGCAGCCTCTGATCCAATCAGGTCTCCTCACAGTCATCTAAATCTAATGGAGAAGGCATCCGTTTAATTAAAAAGTATTACTGTACAATTTGGGGAAATAAACTCATCTCCCCCTGACTTAAATAAAAGAGCGTCACCTTTCTCTCGCTCCCTGAACTGCGGAGCCACTTGGTAGCATGTTTAATAACCCCAAAGAGAGGAAGGAACCTGGTTTATTTCCAGAAATGGCTTCTGATTTACTAGGAACCACATTAAGCTCAGCCAGTGATAGAAAACTAGCTACTAACCACCTGAGTTTCCTTCCATGATGTCCACGCAATAGTGCAGAGCTGCGTTAACCAACACAGCCCCACAACATCCAGAGCCTTAAGATACTCAGGGCGAATCTCACCCCCCAGCTGGAGCCCTGCCACCGACGAGCTTTTTAACCACTTCGGTGGCTTCAGCAACAGAGATGGGAGAACCCAAGCCGGAGCCCCCAGGCTCTGGTTCCTCAATGGAAGACGTGTTGGTGGGATTAAGGAGGTCTATGAAGTACTCCGCCCACCGTCATACGGCGTCCCGAGTCGAGGTCAGCAGCACACCACCCCCATTATAAATAGTGTTGGTACTGCACTGCTTCCCCCTCCTGAGACGCCGAATTGTGGACCAGAATGGCTTTGAAGCGGTACGGAAGACTTTCTCCATGGCCTCTCTGAACTCTTTCCACGCCCAAGTTTTGCCTCAGCGACCGGCTGAGTTGGGCTCTTTTTGACATCAAGACAATTATTCTTATTGCCATATTGCCAGACAGGACACTGTTAAAAAGATTAAATAAATCAATCCACAGTCACCTTTACATGCTCCACATGCAGGGCAGCTGCCATTCGTGCAGAAAACCTAACGGGAAGATTTCCATTTAACTTAGGAGACACTGTAATTGTCCTCCTGTGTCCCTCAGCAGACCGAGCAGGATGGACGGAGTCCCGCTGAAGATGCCCCAGGCTGCCGGCTGTCAAACAGTCAGAGATGATGTCAAAGTGACTCTGCCTAATTACCTCACTATATTAAGGGAAACAGAGGTACGCTTGCTTTTCACTCTATTTCTTTATGTGTTTGTTCAAAATTACATAAAACTCTGAAGTGTGTTTGTATATGTGTGCCGATATAAAATGTAGTGAATTTTGTTTTATTATTGTTGCAAACAAAGGATGGATTTGGAAAATTACATTTGAAGAAAAGCACATAATCAAGTGTTTTCAACATTTAAAAACATTTTTTAGTTGTTACCCTGAATATATCCGAAGTTACAAATGCTGCTCAGCACATAAATAGATTTTTGAGTAATTTAAATGAATCTAAAATAAAGTTAGCTTTGTGCTCCATGTAGGCTTTTGTCACTGTCACTACATGCTCATCCAGGAGGAGGAAATGTGGGAATGTTTTCCTGCTTAAATGCACCTGAAGTTGAGAGCAGGGTGGCGCACAACATTATTTATAGCTGTAATGTTCAGACCGCAAGCAGCAGGAACAGCTGAAGCAGCAGGAGCAGCTGAAGCAGCTGGAGCAGCAGAAGCAGCTGAAGCAGCTGGAGCAGCTCGAGCAGCAGGAGCAGCAGGAGCAGCTGAAGCAGCTGGAGCAGCAGGAGCAGCTGAAGCAGCTGAAGCAGCAGGAGCAGCTGAAGCAGCTGGAGCAGCTGGAGCAGCTGGAGCAGCTGAAGCAGCAGGAACAGCTGAAGCAGCAGGAGCAGCTGAAGCAGCTGGAGCAGCAGAAGCAGCTGGAGCAGCTGAAGCAGCAGGAACAGCTGAAGCAGCAGGAGCAGCTGAAGCAGCTGAAGCAGCAGGAGCAGCTGAAGCAGCTGGAGCAGCTGGAGCAGCTGAAGCAGCAGGAACAGCTGAAGCAGCAGGAGCAGCTGAAGCAGCTGGAGCAGCAGAAGCAGCTGAAGCAGCTGGAGCAGCTCGAGCAGCAGGAGCAGCAGGAGCAGCTGAAGCAGCTGGAGCAGCAGGAGCAGCTGAAGCAGCAGGAGCAGCTGAAGCAGCTGAAGCAGCAGGAGCAGCAGGAGCAGCTGAAGCAGCTGGAGCAGCTGGAGCAGCAGGAGCAGCTGAAGCAGCTGAAGCAGCTGAAGCAGCTGAAGCAGCAGGAGCAGCTGAAGCAGCAGGAGCAGCAGGAGCAGCTGAAGCAGCTGGAGCAGCAGGAGCAGCTGAAGCAGCTGGAGCAGCTGGAGCAGCAGGAGCAGCTGAAGCAGCAGGAGCAGCTGAAGCAGCTGGAGCAGCAGGAGCAGCTGAAGCAGCAGGAGCAGCTGAAGCAGCTGGAGCAGCAGGAGCAGCTGAAGCAGCAGGAGCAGCTGAAGCAGCTGGAGCAGCAGGAGCAGCTGAAGCAGCAGGAGCAGCTGAAGCAGCTGGAGCAGTGCATCATGAGCTTCTGAGTATCTGAGGCGCTTCATTATCAGCAGCTGCTGGAGTTGGAAACATTGACCTTTAGCTGCTGGGAGCTGGCAGGGAGTCAGACGCAGCACTGCTGATGCAGAGCGCTATGATCACTCCTCTGAAACAGTTTATTAACGCCTAAATTAACTTCAAATGTAGAAACCTGCCGGCAGAATATGTTGGCTTTTATTATCCTGCTGCCTGCAGTTTGTAGCACAGACCTGAAAAACGCTAACATCTACTTCCAGCCGCCACCAACAGGAAGGGAAAACCCTGGAGAGGCGAGCGGGCCTGAGGCAGCTGCTGCTGGGGATTCCCAGTGACAGCGCAGCGCCGGTATGTGGGGGTCTGAGCGGCTCCCACAGAGAAATAATCTTTGAAGGCAGGATGGTAATCTGGATGAACTGACTGCACAGACCATGTTTTCAGGAGGACTTTCTCACTTCAACATAGATTCTAACTACTTTCTACCCGCTGATCACAGCTAATATAGCCGCCATTGTTCCAGGCAGAGAAAGGATCGGGTAGCTCCGCCCACCGCGCATCAGACCCGCCGTGCAGCTAGAGCAGCAAAGATGCTTCAGCCACTCTGCGGAACTAAACTTGGACGAGCATCAAAAATGAAGCAGCACGCGTGTTTTTGCTGCTCCTGCTGCGTGCCGTCTGAACTTAGCAGGGTAATCATTTTCTAAAAATCAGGTGCATTGAGTGGAAATAGATAGAAGTGCCTTGAGATGACTTGTGTTGTGAATTGGCGCTATATAAATAAACTGAATTGAATTGGATATAAATTGATCCCTGTTAAACTGAGGAACAGAAAAGGTTATTTTCTGCAGTAGAATTGATTATAACAGGTTTATTTATTCCTGATTTTACAGTTTGAGTTCAGCTTGGAGAACTGGGTGTTAACAGGGCTGCAGAACAGCCCCACCAACCAGCAGCGGCCGCAGCCATTCAGCCCTTCATCAGAACCTTCGGCATCCTGTCCTCCATACTGGATGATGTTCAGCAGCCCACAGCAGAGTCGTCTGGCCAGCCGCCACAGTTCTGACTTTTGGGAACCGAACCCTCGCCCTCGCTCCCACAGCCTCACCCTGTCTGTCCTTCGCACCACTTTTGCCATCTCTGACTCAGAGGACGAAGGAGAGAATACTGCAAAGAAAGCCGAGAAAGGCCAGACGGCAGAAACAGGCTTAAAGGAAGAGCGTCCGGCTGTTTCATGTCAGAGTGGTCAAAGAAAAGCACAGAGAGCCTTCGTCCCAGACCTGCTGAATCCACCGTCCTGTCTGAGCAGCCTGCCGCACAAACGCAGGAAGAACCTGCGGCAGTGTTCTTTCTCAGGCATGGACACATCCAACAAAACTCAGTCCAACACAGACAGTCGGTCGTTGAGCCCGTCATCATTCAAAGCCCCAAACGACAGCGCTGACACGATCCGCAAAACCACAGGCCACCAAAAAACAGCAGAAAAGGTGAGACCAACTCCACACAGGACATCGGGGAGTTTTGAAATACTTATCCCTAAAGCTGCTAACCTTATAAACTCAGAGCCGAACACTTAACGACCTTTAATCATTATATAAACTCCAATCAAGTCTTTTAAGCAGACGGCATCCAGTGACAGTAAAGCAAAACACTTTGATAAGAAAAACAAAACTTAAGTTCTACAGAAAATATAGGACCAAAAGGTGAGTTTAAACATCCAAACCAGAAGAATCTGCAGCAGGAGGAAAGTCGATTTGGTTTTTAAAGAAGCTATTTCTCACTTGAAGGATTTTCATGATATATTTCCCTGCACTGGATTATGATGTAAATCCAGGTACAGCATGGTGCGTTTTTAGAGGTGCTATTTGCTAAGCCCTTATATGCTGTCATATGTTATACATCAGCGATTAGTGCGTCTTAAAGGCCTTTACCACTTTCACACAAACCAAAAGTTCTAATTGCTTAAATTATTTTTTTTAAACAATTCAATTCAATGAATTCTATTTCTGCGGCGCCAATTTCCAGAACATCTCTCCTCAACGAATTTACAGAGAAAATGCAATTGAATGATTCAGTTAGATTGGTTAAAAGTTTTGTATCGAAGGAATCGCAGCTGATTTACTTTCCAGGAGTTGCTCATCATGGAGAAACCTGCAGCAACACTAGATATTCACTTGCATTGTGGCATTGCATGCATGCATGCAGCAACAGTGGGGAGGAAAAACTACCTTTTTACAGCAATAAACCTCCAGCAGAACCGGAAGGAGGGTCTGTGTGATTTGCCGTCTGCTGAGGTTGACAGGGATTCAAGAAGACTGAAGCAGACATACAAAAGTAACATAGAAGCACTGATCTGTAAATACTTTCTATGTTAAAAAAACTAGCTCCACAGATGGCGCTGTGGAAAGAAGCAGTTAAGCAGACAACGTTTTCATATCAAAAGGGATGGAAGACAGCAATTCATGTTAGTCACAGTAAAGACTGAGCCCATAGCGTGTTTAGGAGAGAAACAGGACTAAACACTAAACACTGAAAAACAGGCCAAACTCTATCATCTATAATCTAAGGTGTTGATGGCAGCAGTCCGGCGGATGCCTCCATCTAGGTCTGGGATGATGTCACAGCTAAACAGAACCAGGCCTACTATGAAGAGAAAAAGCAGAGATAACCTACTGTTAGAAATTAAACTAACAAATAATGCAACACTGACAAAAATATAAGTACAATGAAGCAGAGAGAGGAAACGTGTGTCCTCCAGCAGCCTACACCTATAGCAGCATAACTATAAAGATAACAGAAATATGAAAAACCAGAAATGCATTTAAATGTATGCTTTGCAACGGCAATTTTAAACTTGACACTTCACCACCCGATAAAACTACAGCCATGATCCTTTTCACACAATTTATCCTATTGGTTTTGATCTATAGCAGTGTACATTAATGCATTTTTCTGGTTCTGTTTTAGGCCAGGAACACATATGGGTCTAATGGGAACAAAATCAAAATACTTCATCTTGGAGAAAATCAGCAGTGATGTCAAAACTACACACATTTGTTACTTCAGTAGAAGTATAGATCCTGCAGATTAAAAACACTCTGGTAAAAGTTAAAGTATAAACTTGACCTCTTTACTCAAGTAAAAGTGAAAAACTATGTGCTCCAAAAACTACTTAAAGTATAAAAGTATAAAATAACCTTTAATAAAAACAGCCAGATGCCGCTATATGAATTAAAGCTCAATTTGTCAACGTTTCTAAAAATTCCTTGAGATAGAACACCAGCTGCCTGCTTTTAAATAGTTTATGCACAATCTGGAGGTGTGTTTAGGGTCATTGTCCTGTAAACAGGAGAAAGAACGGCGAGAAGATCCAGTTTGTCAAATTAAACTATAGTAACAACAGATCGGTAACTACTAATTAGAGCATAATTCTTCTATATTTCAAAAAACTAACAGCGTTTATTTCAAAGATTGGATGCAAACTATTGGTCCTTCAACAGACCAGGAAGCAGATTTCTCATCTCCATCAGAAACTAAACATCTGCTGGATGCTGATGGGGATTATTTTAATCTGTCATATTAAATTAAGCTTCATTTCTGCATGTTTTGCTCCTATTAATTTAATGATAATATGGCACATGCTCTCCTGGAGCTCTGAGGATCAGTCAGAGCGCAGCAATACGGGAGGAACAGCGGAGGCTGGAGGCTTTGCTTTGCAGGAGGTCTGGATGCTGCGGGGTGGAGCGCTGAGGGGGCGGAGCACTGGGGGGCGGAGCCCTGCGGGGAGGAGCTCTGGGTGTTTGAGCGCTGCGGGGCGGGGCGCTGGGGGGCGGAGCCCTGTGGGGCGGACCGATGGGGGGCGGAGCCCTGCGGGGGCGGCGCAGAGCGGTGACGGAGGATGGGGGATTTCTGGGTAACAGGAGAAGCGGTAATTGATAAATGTTTTAAATGAGGTTGGGTCCGGATTAGCCAGCAGGTGGATCCGGACCGCGCTCCGCTAATCTGTGACCTCTGCTTTAAACCGAAGCCAAGAGTAACGAGTAACATTTGTTTTAAAAATGAAAGGAATAGAAAGTAGAGATTCTGTGAAAATGTAATGAGTAGAAGTCAGAAGCAGAAGAAAAATAAGTAATGGAGTAAAGTATAGATACCTAAAAAGTGTACTTAAGTACAGTAACAAAGTATTTGTACTTTGTGATTTGACACCTCTGAAAATCAGTTGTCATGTTGAACAGAGCTGGTGGTTCATCTGGGATCACTGACATAATAACATGCCGTGGATTTTAGGCTAAATTTAGCTCATTATTGCATCATAAATATCTAGTGATCGCTGCTGTCTGACAAAAAAATAATTGTTTTAGCTGTTTCTGCCAAATGAGGAGTAGAAAGGTGCATCATAATCGAACCGTTTACAGCTTCGTATAAATCTGGTTCTGTAACTGACACCATTGCTATGAATACCTTAATCAGATATTAAGAGTATTCACACTTGCTTATTCAAATTACATCATAAAGGACTGGGTATTAATTAGATCTTCCAGCTGTATTTTTTTTAATTATTATTAAAATTAAATAAATCTGGAAAGGTTCTCTATAATAATAACAATAAGCAGTTTGCATCTAGTTTTAGTTTTCCTGAGGACTTCACATTGTTTCCATGGACCTGTGCTCTAAAAAAAGAGAAGATAAAAGCTGCCAGCAGGTTACAAAAGGTCAGAATTAGGAAGTGATTTTTCTTGGTCCTGTTGTCTCTGGCCTGTTGTCTGCGTTCCAGTGAGGATCAGCTCTTCTAACGAGTGTTTTTTTCCCGATTGTTTCACACTGGTCTGCTGTCTCCTGTGTCTCAGATGGTCCTCAGCCCAAACTCCTGTAGAACGTACCACCAAGCCTCTCTGAACGGGGGGCTCAGCTCAGCCTTGGACTCATCTGTGGAGCTCCTGTCGGCTCTGAGCCCAGAGGAGCGGGAGCTGCTTGGGGTCATCACTGCCCGAGGCTACCCCCTCCGCACCGCCATCATCGCCCTGCAGAGGACGGGTCAGCAGACCCCAGATCAGGTTCGTTGGTCACATGCAGAATATGCTATAGAGTAAACCAGCTTCTGTTTCCTCATGGTCGCCATATATAACTTTATAAAAGTCTGTTTAGCATGAAGTCCTATTAAAGAGGTTTGGATCAGCGGCCGCTTCCTGCTAGTCCTTTGAAATCTGTAAATAGAAAACAGGAAAGCCCCAAAGCAGCAGTGGGGGGGTGAAACAGAAATAGCGTATACTAAGCCACAATAAGCTGGTTTAAATATAGACCCCAGACTTCCATGGCTTGGTGTGTTTTCCCATGACATGAAACGGCCTTTGCTCTGAGATGAGTGAAGCTCAACCAGATGGAGGTGGAAACAGAACAACAGCGGAGAAACTGAGGCTCCTTCTGGAAATAAACTGAATTAAAAACGAGTCATTTTTTTATCCTAACAGTAAATATTGAAACTTGAAATAAAGTAGAACTTTAAGCCGCTACGGGGCCCCAGCCGCTACGGGGCCCCATCCGCTACGGGGCCCCAGCCGCTACGGGGCCCTAGCCGCTACGGGGCCCCAGCCGCTACGGGGCCCCATCCGCTACGGGGCCCCAGCCGCTACGGGGCCCCATCCGCTACGGGGCCCTAGCTGCTACGGGGCCCCAGCCGCTACGGGGCCCTAGCCGCTACGGGGCCCTAGCCGCTACGGGGCCCCAGCCGCTATGGGGCCCCATCCGCTACTGGGCCCCAGCTGCTAAGGGGCCCCATCCGCTACGGGGCCCCAGCCGCTACGGGGCCCCAGCCGCTACGGGGCCCTAGCCGCTACGGGGCCCCAGCCGCTATGGGGCCCCATCCGCTACTGGGCCCCAGCTGCTAAGGGGCCCCAGCCGCTACGGGGCCCCAGCCGCTACGGGGCCCTAGCCGCTACGGGGCCCCAGCCGCTATGGGGCCCCATCCGCTACTGGGCCCCAGCTGCTAAGGGGCCCCATCCGGTATGGGGCCCCAGCCGCTACGGGGGCCTTAGCAAAATGTAATTTTCTTCCTGCTAATAATATGAGCTGCAATGCGGATCAGGTCATTCACACACCCCTTATTCTGGCTTAATATATTAAATAAAATGATTATAATAATATATAAAGTCTTCTAAGCTCTGGCAGTGATGTTTGCATCATCTACTGTTACTAAAATTAAAACTATCTGCAGTTTATTGAAAGAAAAAGTGTGGTTTATACTTTAATTACTGCAACATTAATGTGCCAAAATAACCCGCTGTGCAAGAACATCAAATAAAAAAGGTTTTGATAAATAAAAATGATAAATTTAATTGTAGAAAAATAGACATAATTAAATCAAATAAACAATAAAAGATCAAACTTATCTTGGTTCTCCAAAGATGAGTTTATCTCTAAGTTTTAAATCAGTCCTTCCTTGTCTTTGTGCCAATCTTTTTATCTATAACTAATGCTTTATTTGTTGTTAAAGATATGTTGGTGTAAATCTTTTTTTTTATAATTTTTGAGCATTTTGTATGTGTTTATTTTTACATTATTAATCTAGAATTCATCATATATGCAAAAAGAGAACATATTTAATGTTTTTAAGGACCCCTAGTTGTTCTCTCATTCTCTGGGTTGAATCTGCTGAATCAACTCGTCTGAATCTCTAACTAACCTGAGCAGGTTTATCTCTACGCTGCTGAGGGGCAGAGGGTTTTAGGATCCACTGCTACACAGACCTCTACAGGAAATCTCTCCTGCTCACAGCCATCGGCATAATGACTTAGTTATAGTAAACGCTGCTACAACAAAACATTTTCCTTAATGAACCAAACTCACAGTAACAAAGTCCTCATATAAATACAGCAAAATGAAATTACTGAGATCCACTTTCTGAAACCATAAACATTGTTTTAGTTACTGGTAACCAGTCAGTGGGACTGAAATGTCTGGCTGTGTTTCTGTCTGCAGATCCTGAGTTACCTGATAGCATGTGAGCATCTGTGTCAGCAGGGCTACGACAAGGCTCAGGTGGAAGAAGCCCTGGAGATGTTCCAGAACTGTGAAGCAAAGGTGAGCCACAGTCAGTGCATCAGTGCTACAAACCGTCCAACACCGCTGGTTTAACTGTGGCGTCTTTCCCATCTAGGCTGAGGAATTCCTCCACCTTCTGAATCAGTTCAATGAGATGGGCTTCCACCCGAACACCATCAAAGAGGTGCTGCTGGTCCATGAAAACCACCGAGAGCGCGCGCTGGAGGAGCTGATGATGCGCGTGGCCTGAAAACATGGCAGCACCTACAGTTTATTAGCAAAGTCTGGATAAAAAATGTTAGGAAGAATATTGCTGACATGTTCTTTCTACTTTGTACAGCTCTCTGTTTAAACTGTCTCTATATATCTTAATATGTTCTACTCACAGTAAAAGATGTTTTAGTGTTCATAAAAACTAAGCAAATTAATGTGTTTTTGTTTTTTTTACCATATTTTTTACCAGCTGTGGAACCAAATATAAACAGAAAATGTAGTTTCAGATAGAAATTGTAGTTTATTTGTCTCTCTGACTTACTGCAGTGAAGGATTTTGGGTATTCAACCTAAGTGCAGGCGCCACGTCAGTTTATGTCAGCTCATTGCACCCGGTGCTGGAATTCTATTTAGTCATAAAAAGGGCAATTATAACAACATCAGGTTGTATATACAGCAGAGCGTGGAGAAGAGATCTGATGGAGCGCAGAGCGGTTTTCAATTCAAAGGCCGGAGAAACGATTTTGGTTTATAGCGGAGCTGATTTATAGTGGAGCGGATTTTGAGCAGAGCGGATTTATAGCGGAGCTGATTTATAGCGGAGCAGATTTTGAGCAGAGCGGATTTTGAGCAGAGCGTCCTGGTGCAACTTTGAGCGGTGGAGCGAATGAGGGAACATCTATCCTTTGCGGGTAGCGAAATTGAGCGGCGCTCATTTCATATGCTCTGATTTTTCATCAGGATCATATGGTTTCTTGTCTAGAAGCATTTCATTTGACTCTTTCCCTTTAAAAACACATTAACCCAGATTACAGAGCAAAGAGGTCAGAGTCATCTATAGAGAAGTTCTGTTCCCAATGTCCTGCAGTTAGAGGCAGCACCACCATGTGGCACACAACATTCCAGCGCCTGCTCCAGGTGTCAGCCTTAAGTAGGTGGTAATTAGCCAGTTAGCTGACAGCTGGAGGTAGTTAGGCTCCACCTGGCCCCCAGGAGCTGCTGAAGCTGATTATGGTGGAAAACAACAAGCAGCCTGGAAACATGTTGCAGGGGTGCAGTGAAAGAGCATTAATTAAATAGCCTAAGTTTGCTCTTCAGAGACTTCCTGGTTGCTTTGCCTTAATCTCCCAATGTTCTGCGTTGGTTTATCATCCAGAGCATCAACCTTTCATAGCCTCTACAGTCTAGAGCTGCTTACCTTCAACCTTCTTGTCCTTTCTAAAGACACCTTTTGCATTTTTTGTCCTTCTTTCTTTTATAAAGGACAGTATAGAATTTGCTCTGTGTTTCTACCCCTAAGGTGAAATCAAAATATATTTACATGAATGTTCCTTGTGAGTAAAGATGGTTTCCTCACTGTGACAATTCAATTCAGTTTATTTCTATAGCTCCTATACATCTCAAGGCACTTTACAGAGACAATTCAAACACATCATATCCTCAGATTGGCTCAGAATTTACTGTCTAAGGAAAACCCTCCCTGGGCTGTCACCTTATCGTGGTGGAGGGGTTTGAGTGTCCCAATGACCTTAGGAGCTATGCTGTCTGGGGGCTTTATGCCCCGTAGTAGGGTCACCCAAGGCAGACATGTCCTAGGTGTGGGAAAGGACAAAGAGCAGCCCAAAGACCCCTTATGATGAGTAACATAGATGGACCTAGTGTTCCCTCGCCCGGACGCGGGTCATCAGGGCCCCACTCTGGAGCCAGACCTGGAGGTGGGACTCTGGTGAGCGCTGGGTGGCCGGGCTTCTACCCATGGAGCCCAGCCAGGCACAGCCCCAAGAGGAAACATGGGTCCCCCTTCCAATGGGCTCACCACCTGTAGGAGTGGCCAAAGGGGTCGGCTGCAGTGTGTGATGGGTGGCAGTCGAGGGCGGGGACCCTGGCGTTCTGTAGTTCAATGATCGACTTTGTTGTTCTTTCATTTGACCTGCGGCCACATGTCTTGGACACTCGTGTGAAGAGAGGGGCGGAGCTCTCCACCGACCACTATCTGGTGGTGAGTTGGCTCCGATGGTGGGGGACCTGGTAGGCCCAAATGTATTGTGAGCGTTTGCTGGGAACCTCTGGCAGAGTCCCCCATGAGAAAGAGCTTTAACTCCCATCTCTGGCAGAGCTTTGAACACTTTCCGAGGGAGAGGTGGGGGACATTGAGTCTGAGTGGGCCATGTTCTGCGCCTCTATTGTTGGGGTGACTAGTCATAGCTGTGACCACAAGGTTGTCGGTGCTTGTGACGGTGGCAACCCTTGGTGGTGGACACCAGCAGTGAGGGAAGCTGTCAAGCTGAAGAAGGAGTCCTATTGGGCTTTATTGACCTGTCAGACTCCAGAAGCAGCTGATATGTACCGGCAGTCAAAGCGTCAGGTGGCTCGACTGGTCGCTGAGGCAAAAACTGGGGCGTGGGAAGAGTTCTGAGAGGCCATGGAGAAAGACTTCAATACGGCTTCGAAGCGATTCAGGTCCATGATCCGGCAACTCAGGAGGGGGAAGCAGTGCAGTACCAATGCTATTTTTAGTGGGGGTGGTGTGCTGCTGATCTTGACTCAGGATGTTGTATGTTTGTGGGCGGAGTACTTTGAAGACCTCCTAAATCCCACCAACATGTCTTCCATCGAGGAAGCAGAGCTTGGGGGCTCCGGCTTGGGTCCTCCTATCTCTGTTGCTGAAGTCACCGAGGTGGTAAAAAAGCTCCTCGGTGGCAAGGCTCCAGAGGTGGATGAGATTTGCCCTGAGTACCTTATGGCTCTGGATGTTGTGGGGCTGTGTTGGTTAACGTGGCTCTGCAACATCGCGTGGACATCGGGAGCAGTTCCCCTGGATTGGCAGTCTGGGGTGGTGGTCCCTCTATTTAAAAAAGGGGACCGGAGGGTGTGTTCCAATTACAGAGGAATCACCCTCTTAAGCCTCCCTAGTAAGGTCTATTCTGGGGTTCTGGAAAGGAGGGTCTGTCAGGTAGTTGAATCTCTGATTCAGGAGGAGCCGTGTGGTTTTTGTCCTGGCCGTGGAACACTGGATCAGCTCTACACCCTCAGCAGGATTCTGTAGAGTGCATGGGAGTTTGTCCAACCATGTGTTTTGTGGATCTGGAGAAGGCATTCGACCGTGTCCCTTGGGTTGTCCTGTGGGGGCTACTCCGGAGTATGGAGTACCAGGCCCTTTAATAGGGGCTGTTAGGTCTCTGTACGACAGGTGTCAGAGCCTGCTCCGTATTGCTGGCAGTAAGTCGGACTCTTTTCCGGTGAGGGTTGGAATCCGCCAAGGTTGATCTACGTCTCTCACTGGATCGGTTTGCAGCCGAGTGTGAAGCGGCCAAGATGAGGATCACTGCCTCCAAATCAGAGACCATGGTCTTGAGCCAGAAAAGGGTAGGGTGCCTTCTCCAGGTTGGGGCATCCTCCCCAACCTGGAGAACACACTCCAGGCCTAGCTCCAGATACTGCCCCTTGTGGAAGAGTTTAAGTATCTTGGGGTCTTGTTCATGAATGACGGGAAGATTTAGGGGGAGATCAACAGGCAGATTGATGCGGCGTCTCCTGTGAAGCGTGCACTGTACCAGTCTGTTTTGGTGAATAGAGAGCTGAGCCAAAAGGCAAAGCTCTCAATTTACCGGTCGATCTATGTTCCTACCCTCATCTATGGTCATGAGCTTTGGGTCATGACTGAAAGAATGAGATCCCGGATACAAGCAGGTGAAATGAGTTTTCTCCTTAGTGTGTCTTGGCTCTCCCTTAGAGATAGGGTGAGGAGCTCAGTCATCCGGGGAGGACTCAGAGTAGAGCCGCTGCTCCTCCACATGGAGAGGAGCCAGTTGAGGTGGCTCTGGTATCTGGGTTAGGATGCCTCCTGGACGTCTCCCTGATGGGGTGTTCCAGGCAGGTCCCACCGGGAGGAGGCCCAGGTGGAGACCCAAGACACGCTGGAGGGACTATGTTTCTGGGCTGGCCTGGGAGCACCTTGGGATTCCCCCAGAGGAGCTGGCCCAAGTGGCTGGGGAGAGGGACGCCTGGGCCTCCCTACTGAAGCTGCTACCCCTGCGACCCAACCCCGGATAAGTAGAAGAAGATGGATGGATGGAAAACCAGTTGACTGCATCAGCTCATTGACTTGAAGGCAATCCCTCACACCCAATGTGCCTATAGTGACAGTGGAGAGGAAAAACTCCCTTTGAACAGGAAGAAACCTCCAGCAGAACCAGGCTCAGTGTGAGCGGCCATCTGCTGAGGCCCACTGGGGTTCAAGGAGACAGAAGCAGACATAGAAAAAGAAGCATAGATACAAAAGGCAACTGTCAACCAGCTCAACAGGCGGCCCCGTCCAGGAAACTCACAGCCAGGCAGACGAGCTCCGAGCCAGCTCCCATGTCAGAGGATGAAGAGAGCACATCCAGTTAGTCACAGTCAGAGAAACAGGACTACACTGGAAAACAGGCCAATCTAAGATACTCCTGCATGTTTACATTTTGCTTTCTTCTCTTTTCCACTAAACAATACATCAGTATCACATAAAATAAACACTTACCTCTATAAAAGCTTAATCTTCAGATTAAATTTAACAACTTCTTCCCCATTTTTTTTTTCAATTTCATGTTGATAGACTAAATAAATTTGTGTAGAAGCGGGGTCCACCCTGGACAGAAAGGCGGGGTCCACCCTGGACAGAAAGGCGGGGTCCACCCTGGACAGAAAGGCGGGGTCCACCCTGGACAGAAAGGCCGAGTCCACCCTGGACAGAAAGGCGGGGTCCACCCTGGACAGAAAAGGCGGAGTCCACCCTGGACAGAAAGGCGGAGTCCACCCTGGACAGGTCTCCAGTCCACCGCAGGGCAACACAGAGATAACCAGGACAAACAACCATTCACACACACTCACATGTAAGGAGAATTTAGAGAGATTGGCTTAGAGAAGCCAATTAAACTGTTTAATTAAAAAGTCATGTTTTTGGACTGTGGGAGGAAGCCGGAGTACCCAGGGAGAACATAGTTTAGTTTATGTCTAATTGAGTAAAGCTTCTGATTTGAAGCTCTCTAAAGTTATTTCCCTTTTATAACTCAACAGATTCTGGAATCTTCACAAAATATGCGCCTTTTTTAATATTGCCACACTTCTTAAAGATTTTATTGAAATTAGTATAAAAAACAGTCTCAAATCAGTTATGTAATAATTAATAAATAATTCAGACTTAACAATTATTTATCTATGAAAACCATTGGAGGATTTGAAAGAGGGGTGAAGAAGCCATCTTTCACCAAACTGAGAGGAAGGATTGAGGTTTCTGCTTTCTAACATCTACAGTCCAGAAACTCGTTTGAAAGCAGCACCAGACTTACAGTCATCATGACTCAAACAGCGAAAACCAGAACAAAACAACAGAGAACAAGAGCTGCGTCCATGATCTTCATCTCACCTGGAATGTCTTTGGATGGTTGGACCTCCATGCTGCTGAAATACATCAGCGCTCCAACTCCAGAATGATCTGGTGGAGCCCACAGAACTGATCGTCTCCTGGATCGTCTCCTGGATCGTCTCCTGGATCGCTCATAGACTGAAATATTCTTTGCAATACTTGTTTCAAAGGGACAGGTCCTTAATACCTTTTATATTCTTTATTGTAAATTTCCAAACTTCTACACATAATAAACATTTATTTCTGATGTAACAGTGATCAGTGTCATCTTCACAGAGAAGCACTTTGGCAAAAAGCTTAAAAAGAAAACCTCCTCTCAAGTCTACAGAGAAGCCGACCTCAGAAGCTCCTTCTATAGATTGTTAGAGCAGCGTAAAGGTGGGTGAGGAAGAATATTCAAGTCTTTAAAGCTTTCTGCTGTATTTTGATCCAAACAGTGATCCATTAGAGAGGACGTGGCTTTGGGAAGCCTCATCTGAAATGTGTATATCGACCCAATCCTGCCGAAACCTTCCATCTCACGCCTCTGTTTCCATCGAGTCTCCTCCACCACATACTCTGTAGTCACGCGTCTACTGAGGGTGAACACAGAATCCCCTCTGACCACAGCGGTGAGCAGAGAGCCTTTGCTGTTCCCATACTGACCAGAGATGGCCGTCCACTGACCAGTGCTCAGGTTGTAGCGATCCATCACGCACAGTAAGAAGTCTTCACATGGTCCGTTCCGTATCACGTACAGATTATCCCTGTGAGCCACCATATAGAGCCCATAACTCTGCTGACGGATGAGAGTTGTAACCAAGAGCCAGTGGTCGTACTGAGGGACGTACTCGTGTATATCCGTGGCCCCGTTCCCTTTCCACAGACAGACAAAGATCCTGTTCATGGCCACAGTAGACACCACAGAGGCCGCTTTGCTGGGAAGGGCCGAGACGGACGCCCAGCTCCCCTCAGACGGCCTCATTCTCTCCACTGACGACAGCTCCTTCATGTTGAACTTCCCTCCTAACGCATAAAGGCAGCCATCGTGACCTATCAGTGTGAAGCTGTAGCGCAGCTGCTGGGGCCCACAGATGGTGGACCATGTATTATCTGCCGGGTCATAACAGAACCCAGACTCCACTACCCTCTTACTTACATCATGTACGCCTCCAATGATGTAGAGCTTGTTGTCAAGGACGGCCACCCCGGCCATGGTGGTACTGGTGCTGGGTGGAAGCTGTGTTAGGGACGTCCATTTTCTGTGTTCCTCGTCCAGGTAGCAGACTGTCCTCTGGACATCCTGCAGCAGGTCTGACGATGGGGAGTGGCTGCAGACTGCCATGTAGCTGCTTGGGAGGAGAGACTCGATATGTTCCACCATGTCTCTGGGTAAAGCGTGCACTTCCTCCTTCAGGTCAGTGTAAATGTCTCTGATGAACAATGCCGAGCGTTGGGACAGTTCCCACACACCGTAGGTGGCAGCAGTGTGGTACATGAGCAGGCAGTTTTCAGAAGTGATGATGCTGATCATGTGCTTGGTGAGAGCTGGTGCCTGGAGAAAAGCAGCACATTCGATGGCTTCTACTATCTGGTCGCTGTCCAGCATGGGATGCTCCCCCTGCAGAACCCGCAGAAGGACCAGAAACCCCTGAATACCGAGGTTTTGCAACCGCACCTCCTCCTGTTGGCTTTCTCTCATCCCAGAGCGGAACAAAGCTCTGAAATACTCACAGTTCTCAGCCAGGATGGTTCTGTCAACGCTGAAAATGCTCCCCCTGACGTCAACCTTCACCCTGCTTCCTGTGTCACACAGAGACGAAGGGGACTCCGTCATTTTCTGCTCCCGTCCTTCCTTACATCCCTCACCAAACTACCACATTCACTGAACAGATGTCTAATCTGGTTTGAAATTCACCCACAGGCACCACTTGTTGAGCTTCCAAACACAGTGTTTCTCCTCTGCATTTGTTGACCCAGCTCTGAGAACAGACTCTATACATAGCAGCAGCAGATGCAGAGGTGTAACACAGTCCAAGATGAAATGAAACCTGAGCAGAGAGATGAGCTGGATGATGGCGCGGCGGCTTCAAATGAATTATAATTCTCCTCTTTGTTAGTGGCCAACAGAATGTGGAACAGCTGAAGCTCTGACCTTGAGTATTAACCCAGACAAATGAAACAATGGAGACATAGAACACATGCTGCCCTTTCAACACCTAGTCCGTTCACAGGACATGTGTGTGTAGTCAAGCTTAAAGTCCAAACTGACTCAACTTCTCTGGAAAACCTACGTCTATAGTCCATGTCTTTATGCCCTGAGTGGTCGGCTATGTGAGGTACGTACATGCATTTAACAGGCACATAGACTGGAAAAGCAGGCTTTAAGATGGGGTTAAAAGGCAAGAGGTGGGTAGAGTACCAAAAAAATGTCTCAATTAAGAGTAGGATTAGCTTTACCTTTTTATAACAGATAAAAAAGTGGAAAGTAGTTATCAAAGAAATGACTCATGTCAAGATGCATTACCTGCTATTTCACTTTAATTCTGAAATGAAATTTAAATATATGTTTAATCATTTTAGCAGAAGAAAATCAACTAGATCTAGCCGTCATTGTTAGAGCAGTTTTAGACATCCATACTTGGACTAAAGTTGTCATGATCTGCCCTGATAGCTGGCCTTAATTGTTCATTCCTTTCTCCAGCCTTACTCTGCCTGGTCTCCAATTATGACCAATTTCACCCACCCGCATCTGTTCCTTTATATTGGGCTCAGTTCCAGCCATCGGGGCCAGATCATTGTTTGCTGTTTGTTTGTTCCCTCTTAGATGTCTTAAGGTTTTGTCTTCATAAGGTTTAGTTAGTCCAAGGTTAATGTCCTCGTTCCAGTGAGGAGATTATTCTGGAGCCAGTGTCTTCAGGCCAACTTATTCCCTAACTAGTGGTGAGAGCATTTCAGCGTTTCCTAGTTATTCTGTTTTCCTTTTTCCATTCCTTCTCATCCACTGGCCCTGTCTGTCCCCGTCTGATCCGTTTGTCTGATCCATCCTTTGGACTCCTGCTGAATTCTGTCTGTCTGTTCCTTTCTGTCTGAGCTTGTCGCTCAACGCGCAGGACTCTGAAACTGCCTTTACGCTCTGAGGGTTCCTGGAAGCCTCAATCTCTCTGTTCCTGTTTTGGGTCAGGCTAGCCTCCTTTAGCTTGGTCAGTTAACCAAATCAAGCTTTTAAATTGTCAAAAAGATCCATCCATTTTCTACAAGTAGGATAATTGTTTTCTTTGTCTAAAATCTTTATAAAAGTCTTTTTTCCTTCCCTGCCTCAGATCTTAAAGAAGTAGGAAAATGTTCAAATTTTTAAATGGCAGAACTTTGTCTTAGAATGCAGTTCTTTCCATCAAGACTGAGAATGATTGTTTTCTACTTTCAGCTACTTTAGGTCACCAAAGGAAATGTGAAATATCAAATGTGGGTAACGATAAATTGAGGCCCCAGAAAATATTAGATTCTTATGAAAAGGCTGCAATAGTGTGTGAGCGATGGGTTAGGGTCGGCAGCAGCGGCACAGCCCTGAGCAGTTCTGGTACAAATACAACTGGAGTGGTGATAGCAAGGCAGGGTAGTGCTAGCACTTTTGTACTGTTTGCAAGCCAGACACCAGATTCGCTAATGCTAACTGTAGCAAAAGTCTATCTTAGCCTAAAAAGATTGTCTACTGCATACCCTCTTTTTCTTGTTTAGTTGTCTTGAATCTAAGAAATGTAATTCTGAGAAGAAGCCCCATCATGGAGATACTTGGATCGGGAAACGTTTGAACTCCGTCTCACCTGACTTCAACCTACTATTCCAGTCAGTCCAAAAAAAGTAAACACTGAATTTGTTTCCAAATTTGAAGACATTTCTCTTCCCATCCAGGAAGCATTTTCAATTCCAAATGTATGAATTAGCGTTGAGTTCCAGGTTTTATAGAATGGACCGAACAAAGCCTCATTTTGGATTAGAAAACTGGTCCACCCCTTTGGAACGGGGAGTCGTTTGGGTCCTTCGTTAGCCTGCCGTACCCGATTCATGTCTATGCCTCTGAAAGGGGGGGCCATTAAAGGGGATTGTTGGCCTGGCTGATCAGGCGAGATGTTTTTGGTCGCCTGTAGGGGGGTTGGGGCTGCGAAGACATCAGGAAGGAATCAACTCTATCGCTGCATTGTATGTTTTTTAAAGCTGAAATCTGAGTCAACCCCCCCCCACCCCCCTCTGTTTAAGGTTGGTTTTTCTGTTTTAACATCAATGCAGGGCTGCCAACTTCTCACTGAACCTCGGTTGAGATTTTGAAATAGTTTGGACAGGAAACCCTATCAGGGTGAGATGAGGACGGGTGCAGCTAAAGGTTGGAGGTTTTTGGAGGATTTAACTGAAACAAAGATTTTTATAGCACAGTAACTGTTACTGAGTAACAATAAGTGATCTGTAGTTTTGTCTAATATTTTTCTATTATTTTCTACATTCTGGTGATTTTTAGAGAATTGAAGTAAAGCAGAATGGACCTCACTAAACTTGCATCTTAAATATACTTTAAACTAAGAATTTAATAACTTTGTCTATTATTTATTCTCTGCAGTTCAAATAAATTAAACATTGGGGAACTAAAAAGCTATCACTGATACAGGAACCAGAGCAATCAAAGGGTTCAGCCTATCCTGAGCTATCTCTATAGTTCTGCTGCTATAGGCTTAGACTGCTGGAGGACATAGGGACCCCTTTTTCATCATTCTGCTTCATTCTATCTCTATTCTCCTATTCTGCAGAATCTATTAGTTCTTTTTTTTTTAGACTTTAGACAGATTTTATTTGTCATTTTTTTTACACAAGTGTAAAACAAAAATAAATTTTGTTTGGAAACAGCTCACTGGACAATTTCATCTCTTTAAAAGTCCAGACTTGAAAATAGTAAAAATGCCTGTAAATTTACTGTTCTAACTTTTTTTTATATATATATAATGATAAAATATAAAATATGATAAATATAATAAAATACAATAACCCAGACATTCTCAAACTTGGTCCTCAAGGCCCCCTGTCCTGCAGGTTTTAGAGGTTTCTCTGCCTTAGCACAGCTGATTATAATGATTGCAGTAGACCAAAAGCCTGTTAATCAGCTTTCAATTAAAATCAGCTGTGCTGGAGCAAGGAAACCTCTAAAACCTGCAGGACAGGGGGCCTTGAGGACAGTGTTTGGGAATGCCTGCAATAACCCATTCTACATTCATCAGTGTGATGGCGGTGGGGAAGAAGCTGCTGCAGAACCTGCTGGTCCTGCATTGAATGCTGGGAAGCCTCTTCCCAGAGGGCAGCAGGGAGAACAGTCCATGGTGGGGGGGTGAGGGGTCATTGATGATGTCACGGGCTCGGGACACGCAGCGCTGGGATGAAATGTCTTTAATGGAGGGAAGAGGAGCCCCCATGATCCTCTCTGCTGTTCTCACCTTCTTCCAGTCTGAGGCGCTGCAGCCTCCACACCACACAGTGAGACAGCTGCTCAGAACGCTCTCTATGGTGCTTCTGGAGAAGGTGGGGAGGATGGGGGGGGCAGGAAGTCCAAGCGCTTCTGGGCCCTTTGGACCAGTGAGGTGGTGTTTCCAGTCCAGGTGAGGGTGTCTGTGATGAATGTGGTGCTGCTGACCACCTCTACAGCTGAGCTGTTGATGAGCAGTGGAGCGTGGTTAGGCCGCTTCTTCCTGAAGTCCACCATGATCTCCTTGGTCTTCTCCACCTTCAGGATCAGGCTGTTATCTCTGCTCCACCAGCTGCTCCACCTCCTCTCTGTAGTCCAGGTCGTTGTCGTCTCTGATGAGGCCCACCACCGTGGTGTCTGCAAACTTCACCATGTGATCGGTGGTGAATCTGGGGATGCAGTCGTGTGTCATCAGGGTGAACGGCAGGAAGCTCAGGACGCAGTCCTGAGGGGAGGGGCTTAGACTGATGACATCAGAGGTCCGACCCGGACTGACTGAGGTCTGTTGGTGAGGAAGTCTAGCAGCCAATAGCAGAGGGGTGTATTGAATCCCAGCTGTTCCAGTTTGCCCATCAGATGCTGTGGGATGATGGTGCTGAAAGCTGAACTGAAGTCCAGGAACAGCATCCATCGTGGGTGTTCTTCTCCTCCGGGTGTGCCAGGCTCAGGTGGAGAGCAGCAGAGATGGCGTCCTCAGTGGAGCGGTTCCGTCGGTAGGCGAACTGGAACGGGTGGAATGTTGGCGGCAGACTGGAGACGATGTGTTCTTTAACCAGCCTTTGGAAGCACTTCATCATGATGGGAGTCAGAGCGACAGGCCGCTAATCATTGAGGGAGGCGACCTAAGGCTTCTTTGGGACTGGAATAATGGAGGCAGACTGGAAGCATGCTGGCACTATGGATTGGTCCAGCCAGGTGTTAAAGACGTCTGTGAGGACACCAGCCAGCTGATCTGACCACTCCTTATACACCTGCCCAGGTGTGTTATCAGGCCCTGGGGCCTTCCTTGGGTTGACTCTCCTCAGAGTTTTCCTCCCTTCAGCTACGTCCAGGTTTAGTGCCTCCTCCCCCTGGTGTGGAACGGCTTTCACTGCTGGAGGCTGTTTAGTGCCTCAAACCTTCCAAAGAAGTTGTTCAGCTCATTTAGGAAGTCAGTGGTTGCTGCATCTACCGGGGGAGAGGGGGTGTTGCAGTCTGTGATCATCTGAATGCCTTTCCACAGCCTCCTGATGTTGCTGTCGTCATGGCTGTGGTTAGCACGCGCTGTTCTCAGTGCCTCTTTATCACCAGACCTGAAAGCTGAGTTTGGTGCTTCTAGCGATTTCTGAACCTCTCCATTTATCCAGGGTGGTTGGTTGGCCCGGGTGGTGATGTTCTTTGTGACGCTGACATCCTCAATGTTTTTGTTAGTGTAGGGTGACACAGTCATGGCATACTCATCAATATTTAATAAGTTGTCATATGTTGCTGCAGCCTTGAAGATGTTCCAGTCAGAGCATTCAAACAGTCTTTGAGTTTCTCCATGGCCCCCTCAGACCACACTCTGACCTCTTTAACTGTCGGTTTAGCCCTTAACAGCTGGGGCTTATATGCAGGGATTAGCATGACAGATAGGTGATCTGATGACCCGAGGTGGGGGTGGGGGGCTGCTCTGAATGCATCTTTGATGTCAGAGTAAACCAGGTCTAAAGTGTTTTCACCCTGATGGTGAAAGAACTAATGATCTGGCCTATTTGCTCTTCCTTAATTGGTTATTTCTTTCACCTGTCATTTTCCCTCCCTGCTGCAATTATCATTTATTCCCCTCACCTGTTTCCTTTGGTTTATATTCTGTTCAGTCTGAGCATTTGGGGCCAGATCCTTATTTGTTTTCTGTTAGTTTGTGTAGTTCTCTTCATTCCAAGGTTCATGTCCTGTATCCTGGCGGCCAGTGGACAGAGGGTTTTGTTTCTGTCTCGTCTCCTGTTCATCCGCTGTTTCTCCCCTGCTGAGTCCTCTGGGTTTTTGGCTCTATATGCGGGGAGGATCAGTTTTTATCCCAATAAGCCTGGCTCCAAGGTGGAGACCAGTTTAAAGGTCCTGCATGAAGTTCTGGTTCCACATCCTGTCTCAGCTACCCTCTTTCACTGAGCCTGCTCATCTGCACCTGATCCTGTCTGCTCCTGTGCCTGACCGTCTGGTCACGCTTCAGGACTCTGTCAGACTCTGAACCTGCCTGGAAGCTTGTGAATGTCTGGAAGCCTGGATCCTGTCACCTGTCTGTTCCTGCTTGATCTGTAACTCTGTCCAGGATCTGCTTCCTTCGGGTCCTCCGGGACTGCCGCCCCGTGGACACTCTGGGTGACGCACGCCGCGTCAGTCTACAGTCCAGCGGGTGGAGTGCCCCCTTTTCCAGGGAGATGGACTGGACTGATTAACCAGGTAAGTGACCAACTCAGATATTCATCTTCTGTCAGATGATGGTGGTCACTTACCTGTGTTTCTCCCACAAACAGTGTCTGAGATTGGGCGATGCCCCGCCCCCCACCTGCAGTCGCCGCGTGCCACAGATCCTAGCAGCTCCACTTTAGTTTTGTTTCATTTCATTTAATAAACATTTGGAACTTTCCTACTGACCTTCTCTCCTTGAATACTAGGTCCATCTGTCCCGTTTCATGACAGCAACAGAAACCTTTTATTCTGGTTTAAGGGATGAGCTGATTAAAAAAATGACTTTATGGGAAAGTGTTTAGTAATATCAGGATGCATTCATGTTGAAACTCACTATGTGGTTTTCTGGTGCTTGCCGCGTTTTTTCCTATGCATGTGTTTTTGTTTTAGCATCTTTATACACTCACCAGCCACTTTATTAGGTACACCTGTCCAACTGTTTGTTAACACTTAATTTCTAAGCAGCCAATCACATGGCGGCAACTCAGTGCATTTAGGCATGTAGACATGGTCAAGACAATCTCCTGCAGTTCAAAGCGAGCATCAGTATGGGGAAGAAAGGTGATTTGAGTGACTTTGAACGTGGCATGATTGTTGGTGCCAGAAGGGCTGGTCTGAGTATTTCAGAAACTGCTGATCTACTGGGATTTTCATGCACAACCATCTCTAGGGTTTACAGAGAATGGTCCGAAAAAGAAAAAAACATCCAGTGAGCGGCAGTTCTGTGGGCGGAAATGCCTTGTTGATGCCAGAGGTCAGAGGAGAATGGCCAGACTGGTTGGAGCTGATAGAAGGGCAACAGTGACTCAAATAACCACCCGTTACAACCAAGGTGGGCAGAAGAGCATCTCTGAACGCACAGTACGTGGAACTTTGAGGCAGATGGGCTACAGCAGCAGAAGACCACACCGGGTGCCACTCCTTTCAGCTAAGAACAGGAAACTGAGGCTACAATTTGCACAAGCTCATGGAAATTGGACAATAGAAGATTGGAAAAACTTTGCCTGGTCTGATGAGTCTCGATTTCTGCTGCGACATTCGGATGGTAGGGTCAGAATTTGGCGTCTACAACATGAAAGCATGGATCCATCCTGCCTTGTATCAACGGTTCAGGCTGGTGGTGGTGGTGTCATGGTGTGGGGAATATTTTCTTGGCACTCTTTGGGCCCCTTGGTACCAATTGAGCATCGTTGCAACGCCACAGCCTACCTGAGTATTGCTGCTGACCATGTCCATCCCTTTATGACCACAATGTACCCAACTTCTGATGGCTACTTTCAGCAGGATAATGCGCCATGTCATAAAGCTGGAATCATCTCAGACTGGTTTCTTGAACATGACAATGAGTTCACTGTACTCAAATGGCCTCCACAGTCACCAGATCTCAATCCAATAGAGCATCTTTGGGATGTGGTGGAACGGGAGATTCGCATCATGGATGTGCAGCCGACAAATCTGCGGCAACTGTGTGATGCCATCATGTCAATATGGACCAAACTCCCTGAGGAATGCTTCCAGCACCTTGTTGAATCTATGCCACCAAGAATTGAGGCAGTTCTGAAGGCAAAAGGGGGTCCAACCCATTACTAGCATGGGGTACCTAATAAAGTGGCCGGTGAGTGTATAGTTACATTGTGTGTAAACTTCCCCGCTCTCTATTTGTTGTGATTCCAGCATTTCTTTTCAGCAGCATTTAGCGTGTGTTTTTTGTGAGTCTGTGACTCATTTTTGTAGTTGTAAGTCAACCGATTTTAATTTAGTTTTTGGTTTTGGAGTTCTTGAATTTGCAGTGGAATCATGTACTTGCAAGGCGTTTGCACCCCTCGGCCACCAAAGTCCAACAAAATCTTTAGGGTTGGTTGCATAAGTTTTTTTTAAATTGGAGATGTTTCTGTGAGAAGCTAAACAAGAATCTGAGAGCGCTCACAGGAAGGACGGAATACAAACACTGAGCCGTCCATAAATTCTGAGTCAGCTGCTGTTTTCATTATGTTTAGGTCAACTTTACTGTTTGTGTTTGAAGCTTTTTTACCTAACATGGCAAGGTGAGGAGAATAGCTGCACACAACCCAGTTCCTGCTCTACTGGGTGCAGCAGATTCACAGCGACCACAGATCTGGAGGATCATCATCACCCCTCCCATCTTATTGGGGCTTCTGACCAAAGGAAAGTAAATCTCTTCCAGTCTCAGTTTTCTGTGTGACATCTGTACGTCCTGCTAGCGCCAGCAGAGGACAAAGATTACAGCAGGAAACCAGAGTCTACAACAGCCGGACATATTAAGGATGTTTGGGAAAACAAAGCCTTGTGCTGAGTGTAACCTGGTTCTGCTTGGAGTTATGGGCTGCGGAAAATCAGGTCAGTGATTCTATCTATCTCTATCTATCTATCTCTATCTATCTATCATCTATCTATCTATCTATCTATCTATCTATCTATCATCTATCTATCTATCTATCTATATCTATCTATCTATCTATCTATCTATCTATATCTATCTATCTATCTATCAATCTATCTATCATCTATATATCAATCTATCTATCTATATCTATCTATCAATCTATCAATCTATCTATCTATCTATATCTATCTATCAATCTATCAATCTATCTATCTATCAATCTATCTATCTATCTATCTATCTATCTATCTATCTATCTATCTATCTATCTTTCTATCTATCATCTATCTATCAATCTATCTATCTATCTATCTATCTATCTATCTATCATCTATCTATCTATCTATCTATCTATCTATCTATATCTATCTATCAATCTATCAATCTATATCTATCTATCAATCTATCAATCTATCTATCTATCTATCTATCATCTATCTATCTATCTATCTATCTATCTATCTATCTATCATCTATCTATCTATCTATCTATCTATCAATCTATCAATCTATCTATCTATCTATCTATCTATCTATCTATATATCTATCAATCTATCAATCTATCTATCTATCTATCTATCAATCTATCTATCTATCTATCTATCTATCTATCTATCTATCTATCTATCTATCTATCTATCTATCTATCTATCTATCTATCTATCTATCTATCTATCTATCTATCATCTATCTATCTATCTATCTATATCTATCTATATCTATCTATCAATCTATCTATCTATCTATATCTATCTATCAATCTATCAATCTATCAATCTATCAATCTATCTATCTATCTATCTATCTATCATCTATCTATCTATCTATATCTATCTATCAATCTATCTATCTATCTATCTATCTATCTATCTATCATCTATCTATCTATCTATCTATCTATCTATCTATCTATCTATCTATCTATCTATCTATCTATCATCTATCTATCTATCTATCTATCTATCATCTATCTATCTATCTATATCTATCTATCAATCTATCAATCTATCAATCTATCTATCATCTATCTATCTATCTATCTATCTATCATCTATCTATCTATCTATATCTATCTATCAATCTATCAATCTATCTATCTATCTATCATCTATCTATCTATCTATATCTATCTATCAATCTATCTATCTATCAATCTATCTATCATCTATCTATCTATCTATCTATCTATCATCTATCTATCTATCTATATCTATCTATCAATCTATCAATCTATCTATCTATCTATCATCTATCTATCTATCTATATCTATCTATCAATCTATCAATCTATCTATCTATCTATCATCTATCTATCTATCTATATCTATCTATCAATCTATCTATCTATCTATCTATCTATCATCTATCTATCTATCTATCTATCTATCTATCTATCTATCTATCTATCTATCATCTATCTATCTATCTATCTATCTATCATCTATCTATCTATCTATATCTATCTATCAATCTATCAATCTATCTATCTATCTATCTATCTATCTATCTATCTATCATCTATCTATCTATCTATCTATCTATCTATCAATCTATCTATCTATCTATCTATCTATATATCTATCAATCTATCTATCTATCTATCTATCTATCTATCTATCTATCTATCTATCTATCATCTATCTATCTATCTATCTATCTATCTATCTATCATCTATCTATCTATCTATCTATCTATCATCTATCTATCTATCTATATCTATCTATCAATCTATCTATCTATCTATCTATCTATCTATCTATCATCTATCTATCTATCTATCTATCTATCTATCATCTATCTATCTATCTATCTATCTATCATCTATCTATCTATCTATATCTATCTATCAATCTATCAATCTATCAATCTATCTATCTATCTATCTATCTATCTATCTATCTATCAATCTATCTATCTATCTATCTATCTATCTATCTATCTATCTATCTATCTATCTATCTATCTATCTATCTATCTATCTATCTATCTATCTATCTATTTATCTATCTATCTATCTATCTAATCTAATCTAATAAATCTGAGCTCCCTGACTCCCCCTGATAAATGTTTATGTAGCTGTAATTTTCCCAGGACTCGGAGCAACTCTGGTCCCGTGGGGCCGCCACAATCATCCACACAAGTTATTTTTTGCTCCTCTTCTCATGTTACAGCTCTCACAGTCAAGTTTCTGACAAAACGCTTCATCAGTGAATATGACCCTTATCTTGGTGAGTCTGATCTCCTGTAATGATGATAATGAATGAATGTAGTCATGATAATGAGCTGTACTGCTCTGCTGACATGTCACTGGTTACCTGAATGTGAAATAAATAAATGAGGGAAAGCAAAGGATGATAAACCTGTAAAGATTACATAAAAAGCAGGATTTCTCTCTTTATCACATAAACTCTGTATTGTAATACTTATAATACTCTTATTTGTCCAAGAAGTATATTGAAGGTTGATGTTTATTCATTAAGCAGTAAAATCATGGTTATAAAAGTCTTGGACTTTAGGTCTGATTTTTTTTATAATGGACAAACGTTCCCTGGAGATTCATGTTTGTCAAACATACCAACTAAAACCTGCTGGACTGAAGTAACCAGGTGAATTAAGCTCAGTGCAAATCAGTCTGGTAAACCACTGTTGACTCCGACCAATCACAGCGCAGGAGGCGGTACTTTAAGATGCCTGACTCTCAGCACTAGAAATACCCAAAAGGCAACAATGCTTCGCTGCTAGAAAAATTGTAAGATGGCGACTGCAATGAGGCAATGTTGCAATGAAAATTAAGAACGCAATGGATTGCAAAACTTATATCCTCTATTTTTTTTATTTTTTTTGGTAAAAACTGTTGTTCACTGGAGAGTTTCTCCAGGGGCTTAAAATGTTTCACGGACTAAGAAATGACAAAAATATATTCTTGCATCAAATCTGTAGTTGTCTTCTAACCTGTCGAGGTTAGAACCGATTCCAAAGTTGTTACTCTGCCTGCTCTGTCAGATGAGAATACCTGGTCAGACCAGCATACCCATAGTTATTACACATTTATCTCTTTAGTTTTCCCCGTTTATCCCTTTTTCTTTTTTCTGTTCAGTTTTTTGCATGAAAAATATACTTTAAACTACCTCAATGGGCAAGTATCCCTTTAGTCATGTACAAAAAAACTATTTGATTACTTACTTTTTGGTGTTTTTTGAAGCGTACCAAAAACATCTCTTTTAAAGTCTGTCTACCAAGAAATCAGCTCTGTTCCCTGTTTAAAGCTACAGTGTGTAATAATTACAGGGATATACAGTCAGAAATGTAATATATTATACATAACTATGTTATTTATCATCATCTACGAGCTCAGCCTCTTAACCTTAATATTTGTGTTGCCTTAGAATTCGTTATTTATAATTACATAGGAGCGGGTCTCGCAGCCATGGAGGCAGACATCTTTGCGCTACGGCAGCGCAGAGCCAACAAACTAGCGATTGCGAGATCGCCAAAACGTCACAACGATGTAGAAAAAATAACGGGTATATTTATTATCTTAAGTCTACATGAAATCTATACCCTACACAGACTAATTAAATAATATCTGTAAAATTATCTATGTAAACAAACCTCATCACTTGAGAATGTAGGTGATGCAGACGTCGTGGAAGACATTTTGTCCCGTAACGCTCGCCGTACTGTTGGGGGGGAGAAGCGGTGGGGGGGAGATGTTTATGTTGCTGCAGTCTGCAGTCTAACCGCTAGATGTCGCTAAAAGTTACACACTGTAGCTTTAAAGCAAGTTAAGGTTGTTAAATTCTATTCAGTTTATTTCTATAGCTCCAAATTCACATGATGTCATCTCAGGTCACTTTCCAGTTCACCAGATCATCCAGTCAGATTGATTCAAAGTTTTCTATCTAAGGAAAACCAGCTGATTGCATCGACTCATTGACTCTTCAGCAATCCCTCACACTAAGCATGCTTGTAGCGACAGTGGAGAGGAAAAACTCCCTTTGAACAGGAAGAAACCTCCAGCAGAACCAGGCTCAGTGTGAGCGGCCATCTGCTGAGGCCCACTGGGGTTCAAGGAGACAGAAGCAGACATAGAAAAAGAAGCATAGATACAAAAGGCAACTGTCAACCAGCTCCACAGGCGGCCCCGTCCAGGAAACACACAGCCAGGCAGACGAGCCTGAGAACTAAAAGATCTGCCTCCCATTCTACTTTTAGAAATTCTAGGAACCACTAGTAAACCTGCAGATTGAGAGCGAAGTGCTCTGTTAGGAACACAAGGAACAATCAGATCTCTGATATCAGATGGAGCTTGGCCATTTAAGGCTTTATATGTGAGAAGGAGGATTTTAAATTCTATTCTGGATTTAACAGGAAGCCAATGAAGAGAAGCCAGGATAGGAGAGATATGATCTCTCTTTTTCATTTTCATCAGAACTCTGGCTGCAGCATTTTGGATCAGCTGAAGGCTTTTAACTACAGTTTGTGGACTTCCTGATAGTAAAGAATTACAATAGTCCAGCCTTGAAGTAACAAATGCATGGACTAGTTTCTCAGCATCACCCCTGGACAGGAGATTGCTCATTTTTGCAATATTCCTCAGATGAAAGAAGGAAATTCTAGAAACCTCTTTGATCTGGGATTTAAATGATAGTGTCATGATGGGTTCTCAAATGGAGACCCAGTTATGCAGAACACCACAAGGCGGACACGAGGATAAAAGTTTAACAGTTTATTTAAGCACAAACACAGAGTGTACTGGAATCTGGTTCGGGCCTGGGTCCTGCTTTCACTGGAGTCTGCGTGAGAGACAGAGCTGTTATGTACTGCTGGCAGGGTTTGGTTTTCAAGTGAGCTCAGATAGTACCTTGAGGGTTCTTGAGTTATTCTCCTTGGGGGAGTTTCTGTTGGTTCTGGAGAAGAGTTTATCAGCAGAGTCCGTAGCTGCTTCAGCTTCTCACGTCTAACTCGTACAGACCTTGGTTTGGTTTTTCCAGCTCTAGTCCTGAGCTGCTTGGGGGTTCTCAGAAAGTCTTCAGGGTTTGGCTCAGAGGGTCGGCTCGGCAGGTTAGCTCTCCCAGAGCTTTCACGGAGGAGACTCGGGTTTCCTGGGAACACAGAGAGAGAAGTTAGAATCCAATCTGGATTCAAAGTCATGGAGATTCACAAGGAGCAAGGCTTTAGCGCTGACCAACTGGAACAACACTGCGGCGTTGAGGCAAGGTCTGAAGGCAGCTTATGTAGTGGATCCTCTGATGGTCTTGATGAGCTGCACCTGTGCAGGAGGCTCCCTCAGGGGATCCACGGCGGACTCTGCTGGAGAAAGATGGGATTTTCTCCAGCTCCCAACAGTACCCCCCCCTCAACGACCGCCCCTTGGCGGTCCGGAGGAAGTGGACGGACAGGAACGCTCGTACTCCTCTATGAGTGCAGGGTCGAGGATGTACGAGCCTGGGACCCACTGACGATCTTCAGGTCCGTAGCCCTCCCAGTCGACGAGGTACTGCCATCCGCGACCTCGTCGACGGGAGTCCACGATGCGGCGCACCGTGAAGGCCGGATGGCCATCGACCTCCAGGGCGGGTGGTGGGGAGTCGGACGGAGGGCACAGGGGGCTCGAGGAAACAGGTTTGATCTGGGAAACATGGAAAGTGGGATGGATACGGAGGGACTGGGGAAGTTGCAGACGGACAGAGGAGGGGTTGATGATGCGAGAAACCTTGAAAGGCCCAATGAATCTCGGGGAGAGTTTTCGAGACATCCCCTTGAGGGGGATGTCTCGAAAACTCGAGTGTCTCGAGTGGAGAGCCAAACTTCTTGGCCCACAGAATACTCAGGGGCGGGGCGTCTCTTAGCGTCAGCGAAACGCTTGACTGACTCGGTTGACTGGTTGAGTGTGGCGATTGTCTCCCTCCAAATCCTCTGGCAGCGACGGATGTGATGGTTAACGGACAGCACCGATATCTCTCTCTCATCTGCAGGGAAAAGAGGTGGTTGGTATCCGAGACTGACCTGGAACGGGGACTGTCCAGTGGATGCAGAACGGAGAGAGTTGTGGGCATATTCTATCCAAGGGAGGTATTGACTCCAATCCACGGGGTTGTTGGAAGTGAGACAGCGGAGGGTGGATTCCAGTTGCTGGTTCATGCGTTCTGTCTGGCCGTTTGATTGAGGATGGTAACCTGAAGTGAGAGATGGTTTGCAGCCGAGAGCAGAACAGAAAGCCTTCCATACCTGCGAGATGAATTGTGGACCTCTGTCCGAAAGAATCTCCTGGGGAATGCCATGAAGCCGGAAAACATGTTTTATTAACAGCTGGGCTGTCTGGAAGGCCGTGGGAAGTTTCCTGAGGGGAACCAGATGGCAGGACTTCGAGAAACGATCAACAATGGTTAGAATAGTGGACATACCTCGGGAGACAGGGAGGCCGGTGACAAAATCTATAGCTATATGAGACCATGGACGCGAGGGAACAGGAAGTGGTTGAAGCAGGCCAGAAGGAGGTTGGTGTGAGGCTTTGTTGCGGGCACAGGTGGGGCAAGCCAACACATATTCCTTAACGTCTCTGTGGAGTTTGGGCCACCAGAAGCGCCTGGAGATGAGAGCTATAGTCCTACTCACTCCTGGATGAGCGGTGAATTTGGCGGCGTGCATCCACTGGATGAGACGGGACCTGACTGAAGATGGGACATATGTAGGGTTAGGCGGACCGGTACCTGGGTCTGGTTCTGTGGCTAGGGCAGAGTTGATGAGGTCCGATATCTCCCAGTTGACCACTCCTATGGTACACGAAGCTGGGAGGAAAGGGTTCAGGGTCTCAGGATGATGAAGGGGGTAGAGACGAGAGAGAGAATCAGGCTTCACTTCTTGGGTCCCGGGGCTGTAGGAAATGATAAGGTTTGAAACGTGGAAGAAGTTGACCACCCGGATTGGGGAGGATTTGCCTGTTTAGTTGACTGGATGTGACCAATTTTTTTTGGTCTGGGCCACACGAGGGAAAGGATGCTCAGCCCCCCCCAGCCAATGCCCCCCCATTCTTCCAACGCCAACTTAATAGCCCCGGAGTTTACTTTGCCCCCCGTCTAAATTCTTTCAGTGATGAAAGGGGCCCACGAAGGTTGAAAGCCAGGGGTTATCCTTTTTTTCAGAGGTTTGAGCCTTTGGGAAGGGGAACCCGGCCCCCAACTCCCGGGAAAAAACAAAGCATCCACCCTCTAGGAGAATTTTAGCT